TCTGATGATAACCTGTGGGTTTGCAAAGGACCTTGGTATCGGAGAAAACTATACCGTGATCACCCACAGCGTTGTAACAGTGGTCAGCTACGGCAGAAGAATTCGTTCTGCCGTGTTTCAAATCTGATTTGTGCTCGCGAATTCGGTCAGAGACATGTCGTTTCGTCTCCCCGATATAGCAATCACCACAAGTGCAGCTCAATTTGTAAACCCCGGGGTACTGTAAGTCAGGAATGACATCCTTCACGGAAGGGATCAGGTCACGGATTTTGTGTACTGTGTTGAACCGGACCAGGATCTTGTGTTTGTTTAGAATTTTGGAGATCTTTTTAGTAACGCCTGCTATATATGGTAGTGTGATGGTTTTGATCGGAGTATCAAGTGGTTGTTTCTGTATGGAGGGAGAAACAGCTTGGCGGATGGTACGGTCAGAGTATCCATTCCTTTTTAGGGCCAGATGTACATGTTTTAATTCACTGGTCAGGTGCTGTTGGTCCGAAATGCAATGAGCCCTGTGGTATAACGTTTTGATGAGAGAATTCTTTTGCGTCGGGTGGTGGTGGGAATCAGGTTTCAAGTAGGAATCTGTGTGGGTGGGTTTCCTGTAGACAGAATGCTCCAGTGAGCCATCAGGTCTCCTCTCAAACAACATCCAAGAATGGTAGCTTGCCATCTTTCTCCACTTCCATGGTGAATTTGATGGCGGGATGTCTGGAATTAATGTGGTCTAGGAAAAGGTTCAAAGCCGGGAGGCCATGTGGCCAAATGACGAAAGTGTCGTCTACATATCTCTTCCACAGGGAAGGTCTGAGGGTAGAAGTCTGGATGGCGTCTGATTCATATTTCTCCATGAAAATATTGGCTATCACTGGTGACAAGGGGGATCCCATGGGGGTACCCTCATTTTGTTTGTAGAAGGTGCCATTCCAAGTAAAGTAGGTATTGGTGAGGCAGTGCCTAACCAGTGCAGGTGTATCAGGGTCTAGTCCATGTTGTACCAAATTTTCAATTATTTCAATGGTATCAGGTACTGGGACCTTGGTGAACAGAGAGACCACATCGAAGCTGACAAGGATATCGTCAGGGGACATTAAAACGTCTTTGACCATAGAGACCAATTGGGCTGAGTTAAGTACTGCTGAGGTCTTGCCAGTGAAAGGTAGCAAGGTATCTGACAGAAAACGTGTTTGCTTATAGGTTGGGGAGTTGATCGTGGATACGATGGGTCGTAGTGGGGTGCCTTCTTTATGAATCTTGGGGAGACCATAGAATCTAGGGGTCTTGTAGCAGAAGGTTTTAGGGAGGGACATATACAAACACAGAGACAATTTCAACCGAGAAGATGAATTCTGGCTTAGTAACCATTGGAAAGACGTTATAACCCATTTCGGTTCTTGATTGATTGTATTTTACGGTGACTTTCAGACCGCAGTCCATTCGCTGGCACTGCCTCTTAATACCTTTCAAACGACGGTCAATGGTATGGTTTATAGCATGTTGAATAATAATAATAAATAGTATAACAGTGTAATGTTTAACATAATTCATAAGGCAATATATAGTATCGTAATTGTATAGTGAATATACAGCAGTGTGGTATACAGCAGGGTCGGTAGAATAATACATAGTGTAATATTACAAGTCTATTATTTTATAGTCTAAAGTATAGGGTAGTGTATACCAACGCATTGTATAATTCAAGGGTGGGGTTTGTCTATGGCAGTGTATATTACGGTGTATAGTCGTGTAATGTAGAAAAAAGTTTAGTTGGAGACATATCAATATAATGCATGTTAGAGCTTACATTGGGCTGTGTATACGATATTATACAGTGTAGTTTAGATTGGAAGGTATAATATTGTAATGTATAGTAGTCTAGTTTATAGCATAGTTGTAACGCAGCACAGGACAGAGTAGCGCATCGTGGTTGTTTCTCTCTCTCCCCCCTCCTCCGTTCCGAGCATAGATGGACTCGTCCGTCTGAACAACGCTCGTCGCTTTCAGTGGTGCTAACGTTGAAAGAAAAAAAGAAATCGCCACTTTTTTCGACGTAGAATTGTAATGTATAACGACTTATTGTTAGTAGCTCAGCTGATTGGAGAGTATATTGAGTTTATTGATAACATTGATGTAGTTTATATTTTAGTTTTTTATCAGTTTACTATATGGTATTCATTATATAGTGTAGTGTATTCCCAGTTACTTTATGTTAATAGCTCAACTTATTGAAGAATATATTGAGTACATTTATTATATTGATGTAGTTTATACTTAGTTCTTTCACATCGGCTTATTGTATGATAGTTGGGTAGTTGCAGTTCTTTAGCGTCAATATACTAAATGCTTCTGTTGATATGTAAACTCTGACTTTTACATAGCTACTTCCGTGACCAATTACATGCTAATCCCTCACACTAACATCATGCTAATCTCCCAGTTACATGGTAATTTCTGACTTTAATACCCTGCTAACCCATCACATTAACACAGCTGTGGGGGCGAACGTCCCCCGCCATCACTGAATTGTTGGGGCCGTTGCCCACCGACTTCCCCGTTCCATTCATACCGCTACCCCCCGGCTGCTCTGTGGGGTTCGGGCTAGCGACCTCCCCTGCCTCGCCCTCCGGTGCTGCTGACCGCGTCAGCATGTTTCGACCGATGGGTAGGGCGCGGCGCTTTATGCTCGTGGCGCGCTGCGTGGTTGGGAGGCGGTGAGCCGCGGTGTGCGCGCTTGCCAGTAAAAACTCTGTCCCGCCCGTAAACAAACAGGCGCGGCGCGTGCCTCCCTCCCACCCACGCTCCACGTGCTCCGGTAATAACAAACACGCCTCTACTCTCTGCCCAGCCCCGTACACCAATCGCACGCGAGGGGGTTGGAGCCGAGGGATGGGCGGGCGGGACGTTTGCCGTGCGCGCGCCGCTGATTGGGGAGGGTCGCTCAGCTCTGAGTTAAAGGGCCCGTTCAAACAGTCGCGCGAATACGCGCGCGCTCGGCGCTTTAGCTCGCTACTTCGCGATTAGACAATCGTGTGGGCGCGCGACCGCAACACAGCCACACAGGTACGCGATCGCTAAGCACCACCGAAAATCGCCACGTATGCCCGCACGCGCCGCACAGTACTGTACACAGTCGCCCAGGTGCGCGAGCGCTACGCGCTATTGTAAACAATCGTGCGGGTACATAAACACCAAACACTTCGTCTCGTGGTGAACAACCGCGCATACACATAGACACCCAGCGCACTCTGCCCTCCTCCTCACGCTCCCCAAAAGATCACACAACACAGTTTTTTATCCCCCCACTAGCGATTTTATTTACTGGAGCAACCCGTTTATGTTACGTGTATGTGTGTGCGTCAGTGGCTACCAGCCTACTTTCCCGGGGATTCTAGGCTGAACCTACTCTACCTATCGCTCCGCTCTCTACTCTCGATTAACTAGCCCAAACTTACCTCTCTCTTACTCACGCGTACTTTCACTCTGCTGCGCGGGAAGCTGTAGAACAGCGATCCGTAGAGGGTTGAGCCTGGCTGCGCTGAAGTTCGTCACGCGGACGTCTTGACCGGCTGACTCCCCTCCTGCGTGGACCGCGATGATTTTTGAAGAAGACTGTCCCTTGCTATGCTAAGCCTCCGTATTTTATACACCCTAAAGGCATTCCGTTGCTCTGGCGCTTGCCCACCCGTGCTGCTTCATATTCAGATCTGTAATATTACTTATGACAAAGGCGTACCGTGGTTCCCACGCTCCGTACCACCCTGTCCATTCAGAGGCTGAGTTATTTTCGTCCTTTTTCACATGCTGATCCGTGACCTTTTCTAGAACAAAAGACATTCAGATGCTTCCGCCCCGCGCCGCCCTGTCTATGCAGAGGCCTGAATGCTCCTATCCTGTTGTTATTTGGACTCGGGAGCTCACCTATAATCAAGGGCATTCAGTTCCTAATCCCACCTATAACCACAGGCATCTCGCGGTTCACACGCCCCGTGCCGTGTGTGTGCGGTTTCGCTCGTGGTGGCGCAACGGCCTCCGCCGTGACCACGCAACTTTAATGTCAGGTCACGGCGCCGCGGTGCGTGTCAGCCTCCGGGGTAGATCGCCCAATTTCCCGGCCGCGGGAAACCATGAAGCTTGATCCCATTAGGGGCTTCTGGATAAAAACCCGTCGGCCAGGTGACCTTCCCTCCCGGCCCTACATGGGGTGTGTGTACATATGGGGGGGGGGGGGGGGGCGCGCCGCGTCGGCGTCGTCACTCCCCGGTAGCGGTGTCACGGTGGTGAACACGGCCCCCGACGGAGCCGCTCCGCCACGGTGGTACCACACAGCTACTTCAATGCTAAATTCTTCTGTTGATATGTAAACTCCTTTGTCAAGGCGCTTTACTTCTCCCACCAAGCTTAAAAGACGCTGCGAATCTTAGCAGCGTTCACTGAAGCGATGTCGTGCTGACAGTTCTGTTCCTTCACCTGAAGAAGGCTACTTGTGTTGTGGCCGAAACGTCGTGAGAATTTTATTTAATTACGTTTTATTTTTATTATTTTATTTCCATTCTACGTGACTTTACCGAAAGAACCAAGAAGATTCATCTCTGCACGAAAGCTTTAAATCGAAATAAAGCATTTAGTTTGAATCACGAATGCAGTTTATGGACAGTGTCCAGGCTCAAGCTCTGCTTAGCTTCTGAGAACGAGCGCGTTCCGGGGTGGTCAGAGACTTAAACGAAAAACAAACTCTAAGCAATTTTAAACTTCTATTCAAATTATAGCGCCAGTATCAAGTTAATAGTTGTAACACTGAACCAATTAGGATTAAATAGTGTTCGTAACCGAGGCTTTAATGCTAATGAAAGCTGCAGTTGATCGATCCAACAATCGATTCATGTTCGTTGATGACTAGTCCATAGCATAACATGAGGAATCGATTCTCTGTCAAAATAACGATTCCTCTTGATACGCTGCATGGAACCCGTCAAATGGTTGGAATCGGAATCGGTTTCATTGTTAGTGTTGAATCGAAAGCGGAAAATGTTGTTCATGGAAAGTGGGCGTTGGAGAGGGCGTCGATTCAAAGGCAGTGGTGAAATCGCGAGGCGATTCCATTAGCCGGTCGCTGCCCGGCAGACGGAGATGTCTGCGACTCACAGAGCCAGGTGAGGGGACGTCGGGGACCAGGGGGTAGGGACCTAGGGGACCAGGGGACCAGGGGATTGGGTCCTAGGGGACCAGGGGATAGGGACCAGGGGGTAGGGTCCTAGGGGACCAGCCGGTAGGGTCCTAGGGGACCAGGGGATAGGGTCCTAGGGGACCAGGGGATAGGGTCCTAGGGGACCAGGGGGTAGGGTCCTAGGGGACCAGGGGATAGGGACCTAGGGGATAGGGATCACGGGGACCAGGGGATGGGGACCACAGGGACCAGTACTGAGGGATAGGGACCTGGAGCGGCCCAGGGGATAGGAGTTTGGGACTGGGACAGTGGGATAGAGACCACAGGGATCAGGACTTGGGGGATAGAAGATGGGGACCCATAGAGCTGGGAACTGGGAATTGGAGTAACATGGACCAGGCACCGGAGGAAGAGATTGGGAACGAGAGGAAGGGAGCAAGGCTCAGGGACCACTTGCTTGGGGATCGGGACCAGGGAATAGAGGATTGGGGTCAGGAGATAAGTTCATAGTTCATTTCATAGTTCATTTATTTGGTATAGCCCTGTGAGCCATTCGGCTCTTAAATCACAAGTGATAGGGACCATAAACCAGAGAGTGGGACCCGGTGTTGTGGGCAGTGGCAGCTGACCAAGGGTCACGTGCTGAAGGGACCAGGATCCCTGGGCTAGGGGACCCTGGCGGGTTGGCTTTGGAGAGGTTAACGAGGACGAGGAACGCCGCTGGTTTGGTGAACTCTTTCACCGGACCTCAGCGGTAGAGCGTGTGCCTCGCAATTATAAGGTTGCGAGTTGAGGGTGAGTCAGCCCATCGTCCCTAAGAGGTCAATATCATAATTACCACTTGTCCAAGATTTTCTAGACCCACGCCCATCATTAGAATCTGGAGTTACTCCTCTGATTGAGGGCTGAAAAGAAAAGTACTGCGTCATTGCTAATTTAATAAGGAAATTACTTTGGCTTATCTGGACCTTGGCTAGAGGCTCCACGTGTCATACATGTCCCGTGATACGTTTTGCTTGTTAATGTGTGATTGTGTCTGTTAATTGTTACAACTGATTTTGTGGGGAGTGCAGGTGGTGTATTTACCAGTCGTGTCGGGTTTTATTTTATATTACACCGCTTCATCAATCCTTAGGGGCTATCCATTTAGTACGTATGTAGTGGAGGGTTTGCAAGCGGTGTGCACGCATGTGTGAGTTGCGGACAGTGAAATCGCGTCAGGGCACTCGGGTGCGGAGAGAGACAGCAACCAGAGTAGGCGACCAAGTAAGATGCATCACGGTGACTGGCTTGCTGCAAATGTGTCACGGTAGGCGTCTCGGGGGTCTGGAGATTGAGGCATAGTGGCGGAGGCGACGGGAGGTCGCCAGCTTAATTAATGAGGAGTTAATGAGTGAGGGGATATAAGGCGATGTGCAGAGACACGCGGGGGAGTTGTGAGTTGGGTTGGTTGGAGTGAAGACAAGTACGGGCCCCCCGCTCTCCACACGTCATCCTCTCCTCCAGCGGGGGGATGCCTGGTCCACCTGCTGGAGGCAAGGGCGAGGATGGAGGAGCGAGGGTAGACAGGCTAGCAGTGGAGATGCTAACAGAGAGTATAGCGGTAGATTAGCAGTAGAGAAGCTAGCAGAAGATATAGTGAGAGGCTAGCAGTGGAGGTGCTAGGAGAGTGAGAGAGAGAGAACAGGCTAGCAGTGGAGAGGCTGAGAGAGCGGAGCGAGCGAAGCGTGGCAGGCGAGCAGCACAGGTGGGAGAGTTGCGACAGAGTTACGTGGTGTTGAATGCGAGGAGTTCTGTTGAATGAAAGTGACAGGAGAAAAAGAAATAAGTTGTCTGCGTGAAATAAAAAGACTGCACGTATGCCAAAAATCTGTCAGAACTTGATCCCTCCTCCCTGTACGCACGCATACTTTTTACCCCCCCCCCCCCACCTGCGTACGTACACTTGACGCACCCCCACGAATCCTATAGAACGGCCGATATTTAATCCACGCAAAAACGATCAAGGATTATTAATAATAACATGTTTAAGCAAACATAGTCCACCACCGGACTATCTAATTTGAAGGCCAATGGAGACAAATTATTATCGACGCTTTACCCCCCCCCCCCCCCGTTTCCTATGCGTACGCACATTGTCAGTAGACCCCCCATAACACATGTGTACGCATTTGGGTTAACCTCCCCCCTCCATGCGTACGTACTAAATGGATGTCCCATTCTGGCAGGAGGGTGTTCGCAGTGGTAACACTTGTGCCGACAACAAAAAGGGCCTTGGTTCTATTCTAAATTCGGGCATCTTTCTGTATGTTGTATGCTCTCTCCCCGTTTTAGATGGGTTTCCCCCAGGTTTTAATTTGAGCTCAAAATAAATACAATGTAACTGGTATTGGTCAAACGTCCCAAAGCTGAAAAATGATCTGCAAATTACCGATTGGGATGACAATGCAACATCTCCCCCGACTATGAAAACTTGGTAGGAGCCTCCTTTAAGAATTGAAACGCGTTGAAGCCTTTTTTTGCGTAAACAAGCATAATAATCCATGATATAGGTTTGTTTTGGGTTAGATCGCGTAAATATAAATGTATCGTTAAACCCACCACCACTCAACACAACCAATTAATAAGGATTGTCACGTAAACAGAACGTGCCAATTAATTGCTTGTACAGCACACCAGTGTGTTGGAGAGTAAATCCACAACATTTGCAATATGAGTACGACGCTTCGCCAGTAATTACAACTAGCATCATTAGGCGACAGCAAGATTTGTGGAAACATCCTCCTGTTTCGTTCCTTAAATAGAGGGATAGAAAGAGCATAATAATACTACTCCACTGCTGGTGGAAAGCCTACTCATGCTGTATTGGTTATGGGGATTATTTATCCATACTTCACCAGGCTGGTCAGTGTATGTTGGTAAAGCGGGCTGCCCAGGCCAAGTTCAGATATACAAGTTTAAATAAATGTATTTGTTTAACTGGGCGATAGCTCAAGAGACTCAAGAGATCAGGTCTCACATGCAATAGTGACCTGGGTTAGCAAACTTAAAGAAGCGAAACATAAAATACAGTACAGTACAGCAATATTACCTGCCACTGATGTCAGTCCTGGCTGGGAATGCAACGCTGGGTTCACTCACAGCACAGTGTACAGCCACTATGCTACTGCTCATTTAACCCATAATACCTTGGTCTGAGCTACCAGCGAGAAACAGAAAACTATAGGGACATGTAAACACATGGGTCGTTTGATAGGTTGGTTTAAAGGTTAGGGTAAGCATTCAACCTTCGTTGAATGAAGATTAACCAATTATTTATGTGGTTTAATTGATGCAATACCAACTGTGCTATGTGGCACATGCTGCGTATGAAGCACATATTTATCCAGCAATAGATTGTGAATGATCGGGACTCATTTGGGTCATCCACATGAGATTGTTAAATTAAAACTGTCGTGTTCTTTGCTCAAGTTATTAAATGATGCCTTATATTTTTGCTTTTGGCCACTAAATATTTCGTTTTATTGCGTGCAGTATCTTGATATGTTTAAATATATATTTGTAGGGTATTGTGTACTGATGTTGCATGAAACATTTGGTAATTATTTCAAATAATTTGCCATCGCAAAGCAATCTGGAATGCTTTATGGGCCAATTGCCAAAGAGCCAATCTTTGTCTTACTGGATCTCACTCTGTGTTATATATAGTTATGTCTTATACGTAATACTGCAAGCAATTAACAGGAACATGTGAGTCACCGCTCGCTCGTTGCCTCTTGAAGTACGTAACCACTCATTGTAGATTTCCTTCGTGCATTTGTACTCCGATAGTGCAATTTGTGGATGTTCTTCACTGATGCATCAAAGGTCCCTCCACATTGAGCTTTGCAGACCTCACTATTTGGATTCTTGACCCGGTACTTCTCCCAAGCATTGATATTCAGTGCAATATAGCATATTCAACCGTTAAATACCTCGTTTGTTAATTGTGCAATATTCATTAAGAATCATATACACCTCTGCAGTATTGATGTTTTTGTATTTTAATGTTATTGCTGCTGTTATCAAGCACAACAGATCTCCCATGTAAAATGTCCTGGCAACTGGCTAAAAGGGACCATCTGTGTGACAAATGAAATAAATTCAACCTTAAACATATCCACTCTGACCAATTAACCGCCAACACCCAGTGCAGTATTTTTTCATGGTGTAGCTGTCATTTTATATATAAATCCTCACATATCTGATCTATTCAAATATCCACCTACACCCCAGTCCCCTGTGAGGTATACGACCTATTTATTATATTTGGATTGCTGCTGGTCTGTGAACTACGTGGTGGCACACACCTGGGATCCAGTGTTTTGGAAGCAAGGGTTAGTGGCTCGTGAACTAAAATCTGGTGGCATGTGCCTTTACCAATAAGTGGCAGTACAGCAAGTGGGTTTGTAAACCCACCTGTGTAGACCTTGTGGTATCCAATTTTTGTGTTTGGTGGGTTTTTTTCCAGCTAATCTTTCCATGGGCAAAAAGTTAAATTGGCCATACAGCCCATTGCAGGGCCTTCTTGGAAAAAAAGTATTTAAATGCAGTAAAACTTTCCTGGATAAATTACATGTTTGTTATTGTTAAGTGAAGCAGTGGTTAGCTTGCTGCATTATGAACCTGGCCAACATTATTGGTGAGTGATATCAGAACCGGTCCTGGGTCCCCATTCGCCAAGCCACACTGACCAGCTTGATGAAATATTGTCAAACGACACCCATTACCAACACGGCATGTGGATTAATTCATCCAGCAGTGCCGACAAAGGGCTGAAAATTACGTATTTACATTTGTTTAATATCAACGAACTTAGTTGATCAGTAGGTCACACGTGGTTGGGCAAATGTTGGGAACTTCCACATTTCCCAAGATATCTGTCCAGCTTAGAAGAGTAGAATAAAATAGACTTGCACTTTTGATTTAAAGCTTTCGTGACTGCAGGGATTAATATTCTTGGTTCTTTTGGTAAAGTCACGTAGAAGGGAAACAATAAAATAGTCAAAATATAAAAAATAAATATTTTTAAATATTTTTATTATTTTATTGTTTCCCTTCTACGTGACTTTACCGAAAGAACCAAGAATAAAATACACTTGTGGAGGCCCTTTTGTCAGGAAGCAGTTGCAAGGCTATGAGTTTATCATTGGCAATGCTGGCATATAGGGATCTGGGTCTGCTTGGTGTTCATTGAGCCTCACCCTGGTTTGTCACCATTAGGATTGCTGAGTTCGAGGATCTCCTGGCTGAGGACCACATCAGCCTGGAGGAGCTGCGGAAACTCTGCTTCAATGGTAATTGTGGGCGTGTGCCATAGACTTACATGCATGTGTGCGTGCCTATCTGCCTTTGCATGTGTACATATGTGTGTGTGAAAAAACAAGACCAAGATTATTTGTACCAGTCCTGGGACTCCCCTAGGTCGACTCGGCTTCAAATGAGTACCTGGTGTGGTGTGTAAATATCGCCACGTGGGTGACAGGTGTGGTGCTGGCGACCCACCCCCTCGTGTGCCATGCCGGCCTTCATAGGTGCTCGCTAACAGTACTTGCCCCAACAATATAATAATGAACACATTTGGTAAAAATCACTTATTTATCCAGGAAAGCCACATTGGACATAGGACTTTTTCAGGAAGGTCCTACATTGGGTTTTTGATTTTCAGATATTTACAATCAATTAATGAGTGTTTATATAAGTTGGAGGGAACCGGAGCACCTGGAAAAAAAATCCATGCATGAGAGGGGGCAACACTCTATTCCCGTATAGATGGAAACAGGTGGCAATTAGACCACTTGCTGAACTGCCTTCTGGAAAGCCAGGGTATGTCACCTCGATACCCATGGAAAAGGAGTTTCTCAACATTTGTGCGATTCACCAAACCTCGCCTCCACAGCGCTGGATTACAGGCATGTGTCACCACCACGAGGCTATAACAAAGACACTATGTTTCACAGATGGAGCCTGCAGTAGTTTCATAGTTGGGGGCGATGTTGCAGGTATTTTTTTCAAATTTGGACCATGACGGCAGCACACAATGGCATACACTTTTCGAATGACGTTATGGGATCTTGAATGTACACTGTGAAGCCGATGGTGTGTTCTCTAAGGGGGCTACACCTGCAGTATTAACCAGGGCGGCCTGCCGGAATGCAACTGTAAACCTCTGAAACATGTGGCGAATGCACTACCGCTGGGCCATGTCACTGCCCCATAATCATTAAAGCTATAAGGATGGAGGTAATCATTCGTGTAATACTGCTACGCAGGTTTTCATGGCTCTGATGTACAGCTCTCTGATGTACTTTAGGGTTGTACCGCGTGTTGTTTGGCGCGATGTCCAAGTGTCAAGCACACTCAGGTTAAACAACTCTTCCATGCTGAGATAGTGATGATGCATTCAGACCAAATCACCCAGAATGTGTCCAGTCTCATCACATCTCAGAAGCTAAGCAGTTTGAGCCCGTTTAGTAGTTGGATCGGTGACCAGCATGCACACCACTTTGTCATCGGCAAGCGGGGCTGTGGATCGTGGTGGTCTGCAAAGGCCTGCGTAGAATAATCCATTGTTGTACTGTAGTTTCTATGCTGTCCGCCTTCAATCCACACTGACCAGCATGGTGGAAGTACAGTCAACAACCCCCACTACCTTCATTCAATATATGTTTTCATGTAAAAACTTGGCCCCACTAGAGAGGGCATCGCAATACTTTACAGTATAAATTTAACGAAGGTAGTCCTACGTATAAAATCAAGACACGTATACAAATATTAAATGAGGAGACATACTCAAAGAAAAGATAAAAGGAAAAACATAGTCTTGAAGAGTTTCCTGAATTTTCTTCTTTGGTTCTTTCGGTAAAGTCACGTAGAATGAGAATAAAATAATAAAATAAAACAAGCAAATTCTCACGACGTTTCGGCCACAACACAAGTGGCCTTCAGGTGAAAGGAACAAACCTATCGGGACGACAGAGCTACATTGAACGGTGCTAAGATTCGCAGCATATTTTAAGCTGGTTGAGAGAAGTGAGGCACCTTGACAAAGGGGTTTACATATCAAACAGGAGAATTTAGCATTGAAACAGTTGAGGGATTAGCTTGTGACTAGTCACAGAAATAGCTATGTTAAAGTCAAAGCCTACACATCCACAGAGGCACCTCGTACATGGACGCCAAAGGGGCTGCAACAACTCAACTATCGTACAGTAAACCGATGTGAAAAAAAAACCTAAGTCTAAATTACATCAATATAATGAAATGTACTCAATATATTCTTCAATAAGCAGAGCTATTAACAGCAACTGGGTATACACTACACTATATAATGAATACCATATAGTAAACAGATAAAAAACTAAAATATAAACTACCTCAATGTTATCAATAAACTCTATATATTCTCCAATCAGCTGAGCTACCAACAATAAGTCGTTATATATCACGATGCTATATGGCGAAAAAAATGGGTGGATTCCTACCCTCCACATCAGCACCACGGACCGCTACGAGCCCCGTTCAGACGGACGAGTCCATCATGGTCGGAACAGAGGAGAGAAACAGCTGCGAGGCGCTGTTATAATCATGTTATAAGCCATACCATTAACCGTGGTGTGAGAAGTATAGTTTTATTTTGTTATTTTATTATTTTATTCTCATTCTACGTGACTTTACCGAAAGAACCAAAGAAGATGAATCCTTGCAGTCATGAAAGCTTTAAATCGAAATTTCCTGAACTGTTGGTGCTCGGAGTCAATATGAGGGCCGGTGAAGAGAGTTACAGATCTTAGGTGCCACACTCAAGAAAGCCCCTACTACCACCCAGCATAGAATGAAAAATTCTAGGTTGAGCTCGCAGGGCCTGGCCTGAGGAGTGCAAAGTATATCTATCAGACATCTGGGTTGCCATACGGACCTGCAGGTACTGAGGACCAATGCCGTTTTGAGCTTTGTAAGTCATTACAACTAACTTGAATTTTATGTGATAGCTGACTGGTAGCCAGTGCGGATCACGGAGGATTGGTTGTATGTGCTCAAAACGGCTAGCACATCTAAGCATGTGGGCAGCCGCATTCTGCACCAGCTGCAGTTTCCGAACCAGTCCACGGGGCAGCTGATCCTACAAAGCATTTCCATAATCCAAACGCGTTGACACAAAGGCGTGAACCAGTGTTTCGGTGTTCCGAGGTCACAAGTGGATAAGAGGGGTCACAGCCCTCGGAGCACACTTAGATTATAAAACTCCACTTTGGCCACAGCTGTAACCTGAGGGTGCATGGTAAACCTACGATCGAACAGCAGCACACCTAAGTTGTGCACCACTGTTACAGAGAGGGTGTATTCCATTAATTAATGGAGGCTCAAGCTCCCCCTGTCCCATCGTCAGCCGACTCTATGGCACGGGGATGCCTTTATCCAGCAGTGGATTGACATGTAAATCATATAGTGATGTTTAATCTGAGCAGCTCTTGTTTTTGCTTTGACAGGTGTTCCTTATGAGTCGGGCATACGGCCACTCTGCTGGAAGGTGAGTTTGTGTGAGGTAATTTAATTATAAAAAATAATGAAATTTCGCAACTAAAATAAACTAACATAATTTTACATTTAGATAATAATAAAATAACACATTCGTCTACAAAACCGTGGCCTAAATAATTAATATTAAATACACAACGTTTTTAGCAATGTTTTGTCCTTCCCCTGCACCTCCGATTAGCACGGTTGGCTGCATACGGTGTGAAATAAGTTAAACGTACATGCATACAATGGCCCTTCATAGCACATACATACAGTGAGGGAAAAAAGTATTTGATCCCCTGCTGATTGTGTACGTTTGCCCACTGACAAAGAAATGATCAGTCTATAATTTTAATGGTAGGTTTATTTGAACAGTGAGAGACAGAATAACAATAACAAAATCCAGAAATACGCATGTCAAAAATGTTATCAATTGATTTGCATTTTAATGAGGGAAATAAGTATTTGACCCCTCTGCAAAACATGACTTAGTACTTGGTGGCAAAACCCTTGTTGGCAATCACAGAGGTCAGACGTTTCTTGTAGTTGGCCACCAGGTTTGCACACATCTCAGGAGGGATTTTGTCCCACTCCTCTTTGCAGATCTTCTCCAAGTCATTAAGGTTTCGAGGCTGACGTTTGGCAACTCGAACCTTCAACTCCCTCCACAGATTTTCTATGGGATTACGGTCTGGAGACTGGCTAGGCCACTCCAGGACCTTAATGTGCTTCTTCTTGAGCCACTCCTTTGTTGCCTTGGCCGTGTGTTTTGGGTCATTGTCCTGCTGGAATACCCATCCACGACCCATTTTCAATGCCCTGGCTGAGGGAAGGAGGTTCTCACCCAAGATTTGACGGTACATGGCCCCGTCCATCGTCCCTTTGATGCGGTGAAGTTGTCCTGTCCCCTTAGCAGAAAAACACCCCCAAAGCATAATGTTTCCACCTCCATGTTTGACGGTGGGGATGGTGTTCTTGGGGTCATAGGCAGCATTCCTCCTCCTCCAAACATGGCGAGTTGAGTTGATGCCAAAGAGCTCCATTTTGGTCTCATCTGACCACAACACTTTCACCCAGCTGTCCTCTGAATCATTCAGATGTTCATTGGCAAACTTCAGACGGGAATGTATATGTGCTCTCTTGAGCAGGGGGACCTTGCGGGCACTTCAGGATTTCAGTCCTTCACGGCGTAGTGTGTTACCAATTGTTTTCTTGGTCACTATGGTCCCAGCTGCCTTGAGATCATTGATAAGATCCTCCCGTGTAGTTCTGGGCTGATTCCTCACCGTTCTCATGATCATTGCAACTCCACGAGGTGAGATCTTGCATGGAGCCCCAGGCCGACGGAGATTGACAGTTCTTTTGTGTTTCTTCCATTTGCGAATAATCGCACCAACTGTTGTCACCTTCTCACCAAGCTGCTTGGCAATGGTCTTGTAGCCCATTCCAGCCTTGTGTAGGTCTACAATCTTGTCCCTGACATCCTTGGAGAGCTCTTTGGTCTTGGCCATGGTGGAGGGTTTGGAATCTGATTGATTGATTGCTTCTGTGGACAGGTGTCTTTTATACAGGTAACGAGCTGAGATTAGGAGCACACTGTATAAAAGGCACCTGGGAGCCAGAAATCTTTCTGATTGAGAGGGGGTCAAATACTTATTTCCCTCATTAAAATGCAAATCAATTTATACAATTTTTGACATGCGTTTTTCTGGATTTTTTTGTTATTCTGTCTCTCACTGTTCAAATAAACCTACCATTAAAATTATAGACTGATACTTTCTTTGTCAGTGGGCAAATGTACAAAATCAGCAGGGGATCAAATACTTTTTTCCCTCACTGTAGAGAGGCCAGAGAGAGTGGATAATAAGAGTTGGAATTGCACTTCACATCATGGGGCCTGATGAGAATTACATTTTTAAAATATTTTATGTCGACCAGTTTTTAAATTGACATGAATAGTAACACTCAAATTAGCTATTGGGTAACAGACAAACCATTCAATATTGAAGTGTTACAAGTTAATTTTCTTCAGGTCCCATGATGTAAAGTCCAGGCTAAAATTAATCTGAACATTTTATTAATAAGTTGCTCATTACATGACATTGATCCACAACATCCCTAGAGCAACGATAGAGAAAGCCTTAATACATGAAGAAAACAACTGCATTGAGTTCCTACTGATGTTAGTGGACTATGCTAGTTTTGCGCCCACCACTGCTATGGGTAGACTATCCTGACATTAGGAACGTGGATCTCTCACCGCTGGTTCGTGGCCACCATTGAACATGAGTGCTGTTTCATTGATCGCTTGAGCACGGTCAAGATCAACTTCAGGTCAACATCACATTTTCTTTCTCTTGACAGATCCTGTTGAATTACCTGCCCTGCAAACGGTTAGAATGGCCTGTGTTCCTGCAGAAACAAAGGTAAAAAATGTGCTCAATAATTGGGTAATTTGCACAAATTTTACAAATATATACACATTCCAAGTGATTTCCCCATGACCAAATCACTTAAAATGTGTGCTGTCCTTTCAATTCTAAGCTAAGCAGTTTTTAGCCTGGTTAGTGCTTGAATGGGTGACCAGCTAGCACAAACAGACCTTGGGCAGCTGCGGAGCTATGTGATCAGCAATAGATAGCAGTGCCGCAAACTCCATTGTTGTTCTGTACCTCTATGCTTCCACATCTGTGCTCACCTCCATCAGCTACATTGAAAAGCGTGGTGAGGTATGTAAAATACTCTTATAACACCGCAAGGCATGGAAAGGCCCTCACCCAGCAGTGGATTGACAAAAGGATTGTGCATGGCATTGGAAAGCTGTGTGTTGAGATTTATAGGTTGTTGCTTTGCCCTCACTGTTTTGAGCTTGCGTGTTTGTTAATGATAAATGAAACTTAAAGTTGTCAGGCGTGTCTATATGGCACTCTATCAATGTTTAATGTAAATTTAAACTGGCTTAGTGGAGAATGTTTAGGCGTCCAAGTCGGTCATAACATTGTTTCGTGTTTGTAATGAGAACTGATACACATGTATGTGTTAAGTCCTGAATCATGACCAATAGCCAAGATCAATCTACTGCTGGAGGAAAAATTTTCTAAACTAAAGCCATATCTCAAACTCTCGATACAACAATCCATGTAGCGCTAAAACACGAGCGGATTTCATCTCTCCATCCCCGCAGTGTGTGTCCTTACGTGCGCATTCCCTCCTTTGGCTGCCATTCTGTCATTAGTCTTGACCAGCAGCCAGATGTCCTGCACAAGCCCACTTACTTTTATTAACAGTCAAAATGCCTTGTGTATGCTCTCTAATTCATGTGTCCCTCTTCCTGTCGCTCAGTGTAAATCCAAGCATGCACATTTCCATTTTTTCAGTCATCCACATTTCTATTCTGTATGCCATTATTTATAATTATATACACTGATTAATAGTCCTGAATAAGTTCATTTTTTTTCACCATTTGTATGTGCTTTTGTGTGTGTCCGTACAGTGAGGGAAAAAAGTATTTGATCCCCTGCTGATTTTGTACGTTTGCCCACTGACAAAGAAATGATCAGTCTATAATTTTAATGGTGGGTTTATTTGAACAGTGAGAGACCGAATAACAAAAAAATCCAGAAAAACGCATGTCAAAAATTGTATAAATTGATTTGCATTTTAATGAGGGAAATAAGTATTTGACCCCCTCTCAATCAGAAAGATTTCTGGCTCCCAGGTGTCTTTTATACAGATAACGAGCTGAGATTAGGAGCACACTCTTAAAGGGAGTGCTCCTAATCTCAGCTTGTTACCTGTATAAAAGACACCTGTCCACAGAAGCAATCAATCAATCAGATTCCAAACCCTCCACCATGGCCAAGACCAAAGAGCTCTCCAAGGATGTCAGGGACAAGATTGTAGACCTACACAAGGCTGGAATGGGCTACAAGACCATTGCCAAGCAGCTTGGTGAGAAGGTGACAACAGTTGGTGCGATTATTCGCAAATGGAAAAAACACAAAAGAACTGTCAATCTCCCTCGGCCTGGGGCTCCATGCAAGATCACACCTCGTGCAGTTGCAATGATCATGGGAACGGTGAAGAATCAGCCCAGAACTACACGGGAGGATCTTATCAATGATCTCAAGGCAGCTGGGACCATAGTCACCAAGAAAACAATTGGTAACACACTATGCCGTGAAGGACTGAAATCTTGCAGCGCCCGCAAGGTCCCCCTGCTCAAGAAAGCACATATACATTCCCGTCTGAAGTTTGCCAATGAACATCTGAATGATTCAGAGGACAACTGGGTGAAAGTGTTGTGGTCAGATGAGACCAAAATGGGGCTCTTTGGCATCAACTCAACTCGCCGTGTTTGGAGGAGGAGGAATGCTGCCTATGACCCCAAGAACACCATCCCCACCATCTTACATGCAGGTGGAAACATGCTTTGGGGGTGTTTTTCTGCTAAGGGGACAGGAAAACTTCACCGCATCAAAGGGACGATGGACGGGGCCATGTACTGTCAAATCTTGGGTGAGAACCTCCTTCCCTCAGCCAGGGCATTGAAAATGGGTCGTGGATGGGTATTCCAGCATGACAATGACCCAAAACACACGGCCAAGGCAACAAAGGAGTGGCTCAAGCAGAAGCACATTAAGGTCCTGGAGTGGCCTAGCCAGCCTCCAGACCTTAATCCCATAGAAAATCTGTGGAGGGAGCTGAAGGTTCGAGTTGCCAAACGTCAGCCTCGAAACCTTAATGACTTGGAGAAGATCTGCAAAGAGGAGTGGGACAAAATCCCTCCTGAGATGTGTGCAAACCTGGTGGCCAACTACAAGAAACGTCTGACCTCTGTGATTGCCAACAAGGGTTTTGCCACCAAGTACTAAGTCATGTTTTGCAGAGGGGTCAAATACTTATTTACCTCATTAAAATGCAAATCAATTGATAACATTTTTGACATGCGTATTTCTGGATTTTTTTGTTGTTATTCTGTCTCTCACTGTTCAAATAAACCTACCATTAAAATTATAGACTGATCATTTCTTTGTCAGTGGGCAAACGTACAAAATCAGCAGGGGATCAAATACTTTTTTCCCTCACTGTACATATTAGTATACAGCTCAATCACAGAACAGAATAGAGTTTCCCTTCATAGACTGGTTTGCCTGCTTGTTTTCTTTATGCGGCTCCTTCCAGGCACACTGGGAGGAAACCAGGAGATTAAAACGAGAGGCTTTCGCTCAACATCCTTCAAGGATCTGTCATGCCGCAGCCAGTGTGCATTTACTAATAACGTTTGGCCTGCTGACGTGTGTGTTTTTGCCAGAAATTTGTACCGGCAATTTTTGTGCGAAATGATTCTACAACCTGGAGCAGCCAAAGTGAAGCAAGGAATCATTCGGGAAGACGTCACGTTCGAGGATCACGTACGTTGTCTTTAAATATCTGCCAAAAATCATTAATTCACTCTGATGGTGGTGGCAACACATGCCTGTAATCCAGCACTCTGGAGGCGGGAGTTGGTGGATCGCACAAATGTTGTGAAACTCTCTTCCCATAAGCGTTGAGGTGCCATACCCTGGCTTGCCAGGAGAATGCAGTACAGCACAAATGTGGACTCAATCTGTTCCATCTGTATTAGATAGTGTTTACCGCCCCGCACGCATGAGTTTTCTCTGGGTGCTGTCGTTTCCTCCCACATGTAAACATAACTCCTTAATATATATCGATCTGCAGAGCGTGGGAAATTGTTGGTGGTGACTCATCGTGCGACTGCCTTCCAACTTGTCTGTGGGTCCTCCTCACGCCTCTAAATCGTTTTGTGTACGATGAGTGAATAGAGAATGAGCGAATACTGTGCGGCAAGTAAAAATTATGATATTAGTCATGTATGTATGTTCAGTTCATGTTTTTGTCTACAGCTCTGACCTTTAGAATTGCTTTTATTCTTTACTCTCTCTGCTATTTGCTTAAGAGGCTTATTTTGCCAAACAAACAAATAATGGTACCATTAAATTTTGATTTAAAGCTTTCGGGACTGCAGGGATTCATATTCTTGGTTCTTTCGGTAAAGTCACGTAGAAGGGAAACGTGACTTTACCGAAAGAACCAAGAATATAATGGCACCATTGTTTTTATTTGTTTTGCAACTTGTTATTTGAGGTACATTTTTTGGTTGGTAAAATTTGGGGCTGCAAGACAACTTCTCCTTGCGAATGACATTCCCCGGGTGCTCAGCAGAAACTGTACACAGTTCCTGTTATGCCTTTTAAAATAGAGAGCTTGTGACTATGAAAAAATGTTCCCAGCTGTTATCTACAAAGGAATACAGTTTTCTGATGGATGTGTGAAGCTCACAGTGACTGTACTGATGTTTATCAGTCACATGTTCGTGTTGTAGTACCAGAGTAATGTTTTAACATTTCTACTTATTTTTTCAATACTTTTTCTTTACGGAATCAACTACAGCGTGTCTTCTCAAAGTTACGTCTCACTACACATGCATCACGGGTCAGACATTCTTGATGACAGCAAAACATACTTTTAAATGTGTGATATGTAACGCCTTGTTCAGAAACTTGAAAAGACCAGTAAACCTGCTGGCTACACATGCATCTAATCCAGCACTGTGGAGGCGAGAGTTGATGGACCACATGAATGCTGTGAAACGCCCTTCCTGTGCAAGTCAAATTTCTTGTTGTGGTTTTCACACCTGATGATGATTGCTTGTGTTGCAGTCGAAACGTCGTGATAATTTTATTGTTTTATGTTTTTATTATTTTATTGTTTCCCTTCTACGTGACTTTACCGAAAGAACCAAGAAGATGAATCACTGCAGTCACGAAAGCTTTAAATCAAAATTTAACTGCCGTACCCTAGTTTGCCAAAAGAAGACAAAACGGCAAGATGTGGAATCCACGTTTTCCATCTCTGTGGGATAGCGTGTTGCCCTCTCGCACAAGTCGGTTTTCTCTGGGCGCTCTGGTTTCCATCCACATGTAAACACAAATTAATTGGGCGATAACTTAATATGTAGAGGACCGCAGAGCTTGTGGAGGGGGAATTGGCGGCAGTTCACTGCTTGACTGCCTTGCTGCTCGTCTGGGATTTCTCACGCTTCCGAGTCGTTTTCTGTCTCTGAGAGCGAGCGAATACTGTGCGGCACATTACAATTTGTAGCCAACCGGTTAGTTATCTACAGTGCGAAATAAATTCATCATACACACGTTATTAAAAGGTGGATTGTGATGCGAGGTATGCGTACTAGAGTGTAACATCAAATTGTACCTATTTCGATGTCTTCTCATCTCTATGATCTAACTGGTGTATCTCTGCCATTACAGCCGCTGAACCCGAACCCGGACAGCCAATGGGCAAGCTACTTCAGGGACAATGAGGTTCTGCTGCAGATTGACAAAGACGTCAGGTAACGCCGCCTTCCCACTGGTGAAACATGCGAGCGTGGAGTTCACGGTTAGCGCACTGGATTTGCAATGCAGAGGTGACCGGTTCAATTTGATCCTCTGGCACAGCATTTAAAACAATGGTGCCAATTACTTAAATCTCTCCCACCCCCCTCTTCCATCTCAGTACTCGACTATAAATGGGTTCATCACATCTTCTTGGTTCTTTCGGTAAAGTCACGTAGAAGGGAAATAATAAAATAATACAAATAAAATTTAATTATCACGACATTTCGGCCACAACACAAGCAGCCGTCTTCAGGTGAAGAAACAGAACTGTCGGGAAGACAGCGTTCCAATAAACACTGCTAAGCTTGGCAGCGTCTTTTAAGCTGGGTGGGAGGAGCAGAGCGCCTTGACAAAGGAGTTTACATATCAACAGAAGAGTTTGTTGAAGGATCTCAAGGTTATGTGGAATCCCTCCCCGCAGTCACGAAAGCTTTAAATCTAAATTTAACCGCTTCTACGGGGAGGGATTCCACATAACCTTGAGATCCTTCAACAAACTCTTCTGTTGATATGTAAACTCCTTTGTCAAGGCGCTCTGCTCCTCCCACCCAGCTTAAAAGACGCTGCCAAGCTTAGCAGTGTTCATTGGAACGCTGTCTTCCCGACAGTTCTGTTTCTTCACCTAAAGACGGCTGCTTGTGTTGTGGCCGAAACGTCGTGATAATTGTATTTTATTACGTTTTATTTTTATTATTTTGTTATTTCCCTTCTACGTGACTTTACTGAAAGAACCAAGAAGATGAATCCATGCAGTCACGAAAGCTTTAAATCAGGGTTCATCACAGTTTATCGGCATGGTCGTGTGTGGTGGGGTGAAGTTAGGGTATTCCTACCTCTTCCAAGGTGTCTAGTCAGCATGGAAGAGTAGGCCAAATACCTTCTACAGGGTTCTATATAGCTATCTCTAGTGAAGGCCCTACTGTCAGCAGTGGGTGGCATTAGCAGGCAATTGCAGGGCTGCACTTTTTTTTTTTACCTTGGGCCCATAGTTGTGCCTAATTCTATCTCCCTTCACCTGTACGGCTTGCAGGCGGCTATACCCGGACATGGCGTTCTTCCAGCGCGCCACGGACTTCCCGTGCCAGCTGCTGCGTGATCCGCAGCACAAGTCGGAGACGCTGCGCAAGCGCGTGGAGCAGACAACGCTGCAGGCGCTCAGCGTGGGGCGCACGCGCATTGGCGTCACCAATGTGAGCGGGCGCGGCGCCACAACCGCCACCACTTCGAGATGCTGCAAAGCGCGCACCCACAGGGCAATGGAAACCAGCAGCATTGTTGTATCATGCTTCCGCAGAGATGCCAGTAATCACAACATTATCGTAGCGTGCACCGATAGAGCTACCAGCACTAGCTACGGTATCATCAAAGTGTGCACCGACAGAGGAACGAGACACGCCAGCAACAACAGCTGCCATTCGTCATTAAGTGGTGGTGACGTCACCATGGTGCCCCTGCTAGGCCAGGTGCACTTTGAGGCCACGTGAAGTGTCGTAGGCTCACTGGCAGGAGTTCACAGGACAGACCCAGGTGATGGGTTGATGGACTGAGATGACTGGCAGATGCACCAGCTGTGCCCACCTACCGTGCCAACTGTGACATGCCAGCACCACCACCATTACCAGCACCAACGTTACAGATCCCATCATTACCATCATCAGCACCATCATCAGCAGCAGTATCGTCGGCAGCATCATTACCTCCATTATTATCAGCGCTAACACCAGAAGCAGTACAACTGTTACCGCTGCTAGCACCACCATCACAGGCAGCATCACTGGCAACAGGAGTCCAATTGCCACCACTGCTGTCACTAGAAGCAGTAGTCCCGCCAGCAGTAGCAGCAGCACCACCACCTCAGTTCACTGCCATGCTCAGGCACTCAGGCATAGACTGTATATGTATATACCAGCATTTGGTTTCACTGGTGTCAGTGTTGTTGGCACGACCAGGTGAATCAGCTGAAGAAAGCGCCACGCTCATCAGTGGAGTAGCACGCCAGGTGATTTGATCGTAGGTTTTAGATTGCCGTCTGAGTATGATAATTGTGTTTGCGAACAACTGAAGCAGTCTCATGGTAACTGGGCATGGTGGTGCACGCTTCCAATCCAGTTATTTTGACGCCGGAGGTTAGTGGTTCACTCGCAGATCTGTTAAATTGCCAAACCCACTGCTTGGCTGTAAGTGCGTCCAGGTTATTGACATGCAGCCATGTTGTGGTGTGCCAAACACTGTCTAAGGCATAGCATGCACACACGACCTCCGATTTCCTTCCCCCACACCTCTGATTAAGCACAGTTGGCTACATATGGTGCGAAATAAATTAAACATATGTACATAAGCACTGTGGTGGCTAGATCTTAACTACCTCACCTGGTGTACAGGAGGTCATGGGTTCGATCCCAACCCTGACGTCTGTATATTTGGAGTTTGCATGTTCTCCCCATGGTCACAGGGATTTTTCTCTGGTTCCTCCGGTTTTTCCCTCCACATTTAGAATCAAAATGCATTTAGAGTATTTGGCTGCTATAAATTTCCACATGATAAGCCAGTACATTGAGCTATCACTCGTGATAGCTAGATCGCTTCTGAAAAAGAGCTATAGACCTCAGTGGTCATTACCTGTTCAAATAAAAGTGTCAGTTATTATAGCAGTTTAAAAATGTACATCTGATGCCAAGGGTGTCGCTTAGTGGTGTTTTTCGGCGGCACTGCCAGGTGATGCGGCCGAAGAAGGCAGTGCGCTCGTCGATGGAGGAGTATGCCGTACTGCCTGATGGGCAGGAGGCGCACTGGGAGGTGGTGGAGCGCATCCTGTTCATCTTTGCCAAGCTCAACCCGGGCATCGCCTACGTGCAGGGCATGAACGAGATCGTGGGGCCTATCTACTACTCATTCGCCACGGACAGCAGCCCCGAGTGGAGGGGTGAGGGAGGACACATTCTTTCGGCGAAACTCGACGCACACAGAGCAACGCCAGCACAAGCGGTCCTTTTTCTCTGTACATTTGCAAAAGTGTTTTGCTCCGACAGCTTCCCTTTGTCTTCTGTACTGAATTTAAATACTTTTGGCGACATGTGCACGTTAGAAAGCATTACAGAATCCATTGCATTCGTGCAATTTTTCGTAACTTTTTTAATTTGCCATTGGCTGCGCTGGCGTTGGCGGCGGTCGCGTGCGTGAATGAATGCAGAGCACGCAGAGGCCGACACGTTCTTCTGCTTCACGAACCTCATGTCGGAGATCCGCGACAACTTCATCAAGAGCCTAGACGATTCACAGTGTGGGATCGGGCACAACATGCAGCTCGTGTACAGCACGCTCAAAGAGCGAGACCTGGAGCTCTACATGCGTCTGGTCGGGACACCCACCCACTCATGCACGCACGCGCACCGTGTCACTCGCGCACGGGAGTTCAATCACGCACGCATTAATGCAATATAAGTAATTGAGCGTTTCTAGATTTAAAGCTTTCGTGACTGCAAGGATCCATACTCTTTGGTTCTATTGGGTAAAGTCACGTAGGATTTTTGTTATTTTATTTTTTACCTACGTGACTTTACCCAATTGAACCAAAGAGTAAGTAATTGAGCGCTCAAAAAATCGTTAGAAGCTGTTATAAAAATGCATCTACTGGGGCGGCCTACCCCTTGAGTGAGCCCAGTATTTTGCGGATGCACTGCAAGTGACGCACGTGCGGCACGTGGCCCTGCAGCAGGAGCAGAACATCAAGCCGCAGTTCTTCGCGTTCCGCTGGCTCACGCTGCTGCTATCGCAGGAGTTTCTGCTGCCCGACGTGCTGCGCATCTGGGACTCGCTCTTCTCCGACACGCGCCGCTTCGACTTCCTCATCCTCGTCTGCTCCGCCATGCTGATGTGAGAACATGAAAGAAGGTCAATGTGCATACGTGCATGTAGAACGCTGTTAAGCAAAGTAAGAGGGCTTGTGCAAGACACGTCGCTCAAAGGAATCGTGGCCAGAGGTTAAGACTAATGATGGAGTGGCAGCCAAATGACCTGCATGGATTGCTGCTTTGCAAAATCGTGAGAAGTGGTTCCTGTTTGGGAAAGCCTACATACAGCAGTGATGTGATCTTGACTGCTGTCGCTGGTGCTGATGATTAATGGATTGGTGAGTGATTTTTTGTGTTGTACCGTGAGCAGGCTCATTCGAGACCGGATGCTGCAGGGCGACTTTGCTGTGAACATGAGGCTTCTGCAGGTAAGTACACAATTGTTTAGACAAACTCACATGGCTGCTTGTTCGGCAAGTATCCATTAATCAGTCGAAGAAATACAGGATCGCAGTTTTTTATTGTTTTTTGTCTCAATTATTACCTTACTCTCATTTTTGTGCGTTTCATCTTGATTGTAAAGTTGTGTGAGCGTATATTTCATATTAGCATATGATTTGCCTAAAATTTACATACATTCTAAATAAACGATTCTCGCATTCGTGATTCGCTGCATGTATCTTGAGCGTAATAATTTTGATTGATAAGTCAAAGCATCGCATGCCTATACGATAATATCTTGAGAGGCAGCACCATTTAGGTGCTATATGTGTAGTAAAGGCTACAGAAGCCAGACTCACCTAAGCTGGAACTTGGGAGTAAGCCAGAAGGCAAACTCCAGTGACTAAATCAATATTAAACAATAAAAACTCGACCATGCCAATAATCAGGGGCGGAGCCAGGATTTCAGGCCGGGGTGACATTCAACAAATTTTAATTTCAAGGATTATTAGAGAGTCAGGCTGTTGAACTAGACGCCATTGGTTGGCGACACGCTCTGACAATGCAGAAACACGGAGTCCGCCAGACCGAGTGTCGTACACTTATACGTAGAACGTCACCCCTGTCACCCCCCCTGGCTCCGCCCCTGCCAATAATGACTTGTTAGCAGGTGACGTGTAGATATATGAAGATTCTGAGGCCTCGCCAGGCGGTGCTTGTCTTAATCAACGTTAGTGGAATGATGACGATGATGAGTAAAAGTTGACCCTGCCAGGCGTTTTGACTTGCAAACTTCATATTTGGAGAGCCTTTAAAATCTATGAGCGGAGCAACTGGAAATGTTTGTGCTGAAAACCATGGTGCATGTGATATAGTGCTATGGGTTTGTTGGTGGTCTGCTGGTTTGTGGTGTGATAGAAACGTGGGCAGACAGGTTCATGTATGAGGACGTGTGAACCGTGATTGGTTTGCCAACGTCGCCATCGTTGAGCAACCTTTCAGCAGTGACCTGCGCTCTGCACCAAACTCGAAAATCGTGTTCCTATGCTCCACTTGCAGGACTACCCCATTCCAGATGTCCAGCCCATCCTGAAGAAGGCAACAGAGCTAAGGGAGTCCTCTTGACAGCCGCTCCTTTTGCCATGCGCTCCTCACGTTCGACGGCCAAAGGACTGCCGCTCCTACCCTGACGCAACAGCGCTGGGGGCGATACTGAAAAAGCAGCCGGTGATTTCTCCCCATCACAAGCTGAGCGGAGCGTGCCATCGGATGGCCCATCCTAGTTTAAATTATGGCGTTATTTCTGGAGTCCATGTGCATTACTTTGTTTTCTTTTTCCATCTCTTTCCAAAAATGTATCCGAATTGAATTTGATATCAGCGTCGTGGCGCGAGATGAAAAATACTTTCAGATATCTCAAAACAGTGCAAACCTTTGTGTTAAAGAACAGGTCATGAAAGCAGATATCACAAATCTACATCTAAGATCCCTTCAAGTGACCTCCGTTCGACAAAGTGTGACAGTGAAACCGATTGACAGTCAAACCGATATTTTACATTTCTCAGATCTGGAATCTAGGCAAATTAAGTGTAGAAACACAAATTTAATGTGATTTTCTATTTGTGCAGTCATTTGTGACGGTGCAAAGACTTATCAACTCACTGCACTGGAGAACTTGGTTTCTTTAATCACAGGCAGCTGTCTGAATTGGAACCCGGGTTCTGGCAGGTAAGCTCTGATCCACTCAGTCAGCTCTTCCTTGTGCATTACTTTCCCTTTCGTTCATTAATTGTATTTATTAGAAGAGAAACATGTTAAGTCATTTAATATTCCCATCTCCGGAAATAATTCATATTTATAGATGATGTCACTGATGTAGCTTTAATTCAAATTGCAGATGGGAATTTAAGCAATGATTTTACGGTGCTTTTAATGTGACGCCGTTGCATTGAGCGGCCACTAATTAAGCCTCATCGATCTATTGCTGGAAACTGGAAGAGATTGTCGTGCAATTGAAGTGTATAACCACTGCTGTATAATAATACAGCTATAATTATTTTGATACAAAACAAAAAGCATAGAATTAATTTTCTCCTTTTGAGAGCTGATGTTAAGTCATGGATGTGAGTACAAACGGGACGTGATTATGAAAATGAAACTCTCAATGAAGTGCGTATCCACTCGTCATAAATGCACTACATCTCATCATATCTAAAGAGCTGAGCAGGCTTGAGAGGTTAGCACTCGTTCGGGTGACCACCGGGGCTTGCCAGGTGTTGTAGGTGTGTAGCTGCCACGTGGCCAAGGGACAGGAGCACCAAGTGTTACCCCCTCGTATGCATGGGCATTCCACGCGTTCTCCTTTTTCCTCCCACATGAAGGCAAACACTTAGTAATGGAATTGGCCCAACATACCAATGCACGGCCCTCCTGAAAAATAGTCTTGAGGCTCACATTGAAAACTTATTTCTAAAGAACTAATTTTCGTGTTTAGTTTGTTGTCCTTGCCTGCACCTCTGATTAGCACAATTGGCTACGTACGGTGCATAAAAACTTCAACATTCATACATTGAGGCTTCACTGAGCTAATTCATTTAAATCTCAGCAAAGCAGTGCTAGAGTTCTGCATAAGCTCTAATGCATTACAGTTGTACAGGGATTGCTTATTACAGAGGTAGCACTCCTGGTTCTTGGCAACTTAATATAGTTTGTTATCACCAAATTTCTCCTACGTCATGGAAATAAATTCTGATGTCTCGCAGAGCAGTAAGTCCCTTAATGTTAGAGAATGGCCACAGAAGTGGATACAACAGAACTACCTCTGAGACCCCCTAAGGTGACCTCTGCTTTATACAGTAGGGGTAGTACTCTGCCACCCACTGTCACTGAGAGTAATGTTCATAATAGTCAAAAGAAAAGTTAAAGTGCTGCCAAGTAGAGCCAGGAGTTGGCCAATAACAGCATTGTTGATCATGTGGGCCTTTGCCACCAATCAGAAGTATGGCTGGCTGCCCTGCTTTTATGTTTCAGTTGTAATTCGCAAAGGACGCCCCCTGGATGATGAACACTTGCACGTGATTAGTGGCTGATGCGCCATTGCACTTTTACAATTCCTTTTGACAGTCTTAGAGTCTCTGCCTTTATGGAGAGCTTATTTTGCTGCGTGGTATTTCACAATTAGAGCAAATGCATAAGGCAAAAGTATCTTGGATTGAGGGTACACTGAACCACGCCCTCAGAATCTAAGACTTAAGCTGCTTTTAGAAATGATGTGAACCCACATTGAAGCCACTTATTTGAGACTGATTATTTGGTAGGTTAATTAAATGTTATTCTTTTATTACTGATAGCTGGAGTAGTTAACTGAAAATCTATTGCACCTCTCTGTAAGTGAGAATTGATTACATAGTTAATTACAAATGTGAATTACAAAATTTTTGGTAAAAATGTAATCCTCTTTCAGTTACCAATGAAAGGGCAGATCAACAAGAGTCGTTGTGTAAAATTGTGAATTAGTTTCAAGATGTCGTGTCTGGAGTGGGAACATAACATGTCTCTTGTGTTCCCTATGTATACTGAAACCCGTCTCTTGAAAATTGTGTTCAAAGACAACACAATCAGCTGTATATCTGCAAATATCTGCACACGTGGTGTATAGTTTGTATCCAATGTTACATTTACGGATTTCCAGTCTCATCTGCGACACCTTTATTTTTTGATAACTCCATTCCTGATTCTGCGATAAATTAACTAAGGAGCTGGTGTTAACATGTTTACCCATTCTAAATGCACTCCGAAATATTAATGAGGGAAATAATTTCCTTGCCAATTTGCTGCATAGCACAGTAGCAGCCACAGATTATCTTTCTTAGGCAGTGGTAGAATGAGTTAGTATCCCACCCAGGGTGTAGCGATTAGCGAGTTTACTGCTGAGCCAATTGTTCTGTGTCAACACTTTGGTTCCCCTGCGGATGCCCAGTCGTTTATGCGTGGAACTGATTGTCTAGGTTAAGCTTTGAGGTCGACATTGACGACCGTTTGTCATAATTTACCCGTACCTCTTTTCCACTGGTACATCCGAGCCCAGCCAGCGCAGTGCCCTCAAGGTACGGGTGGTTTTTCACTGGCTATTTGCCATGCCGAGCTGAGACCAAACCTTGTACATATGTATGTTGAACTTCTGCACCGTACCTAGCCAACCGCGCTAATCGGACGTGCGGGAGAAGGACAAGGAAACCTTGATATGCGAGCCTCAAAAGAAAGCCGAACGAGGCTCGGGCCAAGCAGGGCCAGTGTCGGAGTGCGTTCGTTGCATGTGACGCATCGGGTCAGGAGGTACACCAGGAGGATCGAGCGCAACCGTTCGTGTGCATCTTACGCTAGCGGCACAGCTCGGCTTTCTGCGGGAGCTGAGCCGTGCCGGGCTGGCTCAACACTACTTGTTTGTGCAGTGGAAATGAGGTTTATAGTAGGTCACTGTGTGTTATTGGTGATGGTCGTGATTCTGAATAGCCTCGAATAGAATCGTACAAAATGTCTACATTTTGCGTGGTGTTTGTGTACGCACTGCTTGGCGACGGTTCACACCGAGGTAAACTGAACGATCGCACACAGGTGTCAATGCTCTCATCTTGACTTGGTGGCGAGATGTTATATCCCTCGCCCGGTGTACAGGAGGTCGTGGGTTCAATCCCGGCCCTGACGCCTGCTGTATAGTTGGAGTTTACATGTTCTCCCCGTAGTTGCGTGAATTTTTCTCTAGGTCCTCCAGTTTTTCCCTCCACATTTAGAAACATTTGACTGCTATAGGTTTCCACGTGATAAGCCACTTCGTTGAGCCATCATTTGTGGCCAGGTAGCTTCTGAAAAGAGCTATCTAGCCCAGTGGGCCTTACCTGGTAAAATAAGAAATAGTTTAAGTGTTATAGTTTGTTCACTCAGCAACATTTTGTATGAAAATTTGAAAGTATTTTTGTTCCGAGTTAATGATTTACAGGAGAGTATAAACCTGGGATTATCTGCTGCTTCTGAGAGATTGTGTTATTTTGTAGCACATTTTGTTACTTTTGTAATTTCTACGTTTGTGAAGTACCACGTGATCTGTCGGTATATATCGATGGACGCACACACACAGTTACTGCTCCCGACTTGACATCGATTTTATCTTCACGGTTTTTTTAAGAATTTGAAATGCAATCTCGACTTTTTTTCAATCTGTTACTGATTTAAAAATAACTGACGTGAAATTTTACACTCGTTATTAATGTTAGCATGCCAAATGATGTGCAAGTCTTGCCTTTTGCTATTGCGACGCAAGTTGTCGATTCGCCGACCTTAGCAGCATGCCCATGTGACTGCCTAGACGTCCGTGTATCTTATCCACTGAAATCTTGTACGGAAACCTCTTTGAAACGGATGAGATTGGGGAAAAGGTCGCATATACATTACAAACTAGGCATGTACCAATTTTTATTTAACATACTAAAATATTATTAAGCTCATGATCATCATTATCGTCATCAGCCCTACTCTTGCATTGCTGAATGGAGATCTCCCCCCAAGCTGTCGTAAATCCTCACGATTCTGGAATGCAACAATCCATCAAGCACTTGTACACGAGCTGGTTTCATCCCTCCATCTCCACGGTGGACGTCCTCTCGGGCGTGTTCCCTCACTTCTGAGACCATATTGTAGTGATTCTGGATTATCAGCCATGATCCCTTCTAGAAGTGTGTTCTTTCCAAGTTGACATGTTTTAAAAGTTGATATGATGTCTAACATGTATATATTGTGCGAGCCATCTGTTCTCGTTTCTCTCGGTGCAACTCATAGCATGAACCTCTTCATGCTTTTTCATGCACTTTCCAGCTTTTGTTTCCATTCTCTTTGTCAACGTCGATGTTTCTGATCCATATGTCGTAGTAGCTAATGTCAACTGATTTATCAAAGCTGACGATGATGAAGAGACGAGGTATGTGTCTGAAAGACATCAATTTTGGGGGGTTGTAGCCTCCTTTAAGTCTGTCAATTTATCAAGAGTGTCTGTATGGGGAGCATGCAAAGCATGCATGCGGGTGACGTATCAGCGACCGAGAACCAATTTGAACGCTATTAGTAAACGATAAACTTATCGGACAGAAGCGTGCAGGCTGTAAACAATAACACCAACGCAAGTAAAATGAGATCACTAGACGGCAAAAGATGCAATTTTGACCCTATGATAAGTCCTTCCATCATACCTTGCATGTATATCGCGTTATAGTCATGCCATGTGGACAAGGATAAGGGTACGCATTGGGCACTTAAATGTCCCACTAATTTGCGAGTGTTTTTCAAGTTTGAACCATCATACCAGCACACGCCGGGCTTTTTTTCGAATAATGTGGGTGGTTGGTATTTTGTGGATTTTCTTTCGTACGGCTGATGAAGAGTGACAATTACATTTTGTGATAATCTACGCGGCAGTATTAGCCATATGCTGAAAATGGTAAACGTTCTACAGACCGCTCAGCAATGTACACCACAAGACATCGTGTGGGAGGACCATTCTATGGTCACAATTTACACTTTTCCATCTACAGATCGATCACCATTTGATTATTGGAGAGGCAGAGGTATGAGTGGCTACACATGCCATTCCCCTCTAGACATCGCCACGGGTGTCGCTGTATCAGTAATTGGTGAAATGGGGTTAACACGCTGACATTGCTGAATTACCACTCGTGGACTTTGTTGACTGACAAAGCGAGTGTTGATCCCTCGTGTATTAGATTCCAGGATTGCAGGTGCCCTAACCGAGGTGTTTAGGCCCGTCCACATCTGACTGATCAGTTGCGAAACGTGTTTGCATACAACTGAATCGTTTTTCTGTGGACGTTTTTGCAACCAGTTGCAAGCAGTTCCGCAACAGGTTGATTTCAGTAGACTACTTTCAGCGATTTCTAGTGACGTATGCCATTGTCCACATTTGCGAACTATGTTACTATCCTGACGTGGTGGGGGGTTGAGTTAGCCAGGAAAGGAGTGAAGCTGTGCTGTAATGCGCGTAGCCAAATGTTTTAGTCAACATCCTGGTTGCGCAACCAATCGCCGAGGCGTGGACAAAGCAGTTGTGGACAATTAAGTGACGCGATTTAGTTGCGTAACAGATCGCTCACGTGTGAACTCGGCTTTATGTGGAATATTTCACAAGGTCGAGTCTAAGGGTGACAGCGTCTAGCACTGTTGGTGTACCGGGCATCCTGGATCCTGACACAATCATGCGAGGCGCACATTCGTATTTTGCCTATCGTTGTTGAGCCCTACATTGGCTGCGTTGGCATTGAAGCCTAGGATGAAACTCTGGGCCAGAGACCTGGCATGGTGTCTTTGGTATGCACTCAACTCTCGTTTATCTGGGGTAATGGGGGGAAAGGATAAACCCGCAGACTCAACAATTAGAACTGGAAAGTATTCCAGAACTACATTCTATTGATACAATAACATATCTATTGCTGCTGCTGGTGTAAAGGGAATGTAGTAGATTATCAGAAATAACACACAGCTAGATTAAAATTGTTGCATCAAATTGCGTTACGTCATAGCATTCCAAGCCTGCAGTGGTTCTAAGTATAGTTGGCATGCACCCTGGTGTAAGGATACTACATGCCCCCAACACCATCCACTGTCGCCCCCTCTTTGTAGTTCAGCGCCTGGGCTCAACAGTGCCACTGCGACTCACTGCGTTTGCTCACCTGGACGTTAAATTAGCAGACGGGATAAAGCCAATGCTTGGGACTTTGTGTGGCTAAACATTTCAACTGGTTGAAGCCATTCACCTTGTGCAATGAAGATCCAGTGGCTGACAAAAGAATACCCGTTGCAAGGCATCGAGTCTGCATTAAGCATACGTACTTGTGGCAAAACACACAAACGTTTGTGATAAAACAGTCTTTAAAATTGATTGGCTCATAACAGATACAACCTGCTCTGTCATTGTCTCACCAGTGTTCTACCAGAGGACGCCAACAGGCGAACAGTAGTACAAAATCAATACAAGTATGGAATTACTAATAGCTCGGGTTGAGCAGTTATTTGAACAGCTGTTTTTTTTGCCAGAAAGGACAAAGCCTCATATTTTTTCATCATTTTTAAACTGGCAAAAAGGTCCCAGAGATAACAAAAACAATACCCGCTTCACTTGTATCGCGATGGACTCGTAAAAATGTGCGTGCAGCTTATTATTCCTCCACGTGTCGCCGCCCCCACAGCGTTACGTTCGGATGTCACGCAATGAGCTTGGCAGTGTGGGGACGTTCGGATGCAAATTAATGGTCATTGCTGCGTCGTTTCTTTTTTGTCGGCTGCCTTGTTGGTGTTCGTTAAACAAAGGCAACACATAGAGGAGGTCAAAATAAAGTGGAGTCTGAGTAAGTTCGTCTGCCGCGTGCATTGTTTACTTCAGCCTCAGAGAGGCGGTGGCAGTTTCGGTGATGTCGGTTTGCTACCTGCCCGGGTTTGGTTGAAGCCAAGATGCTAAATACGTGGATTGGCGTTATCAGCATAACGCCTGGGGGGGGGGGGCTTTGTCTTCAGTACTGAGGTTCGCATAGCACACCCGGTACGGTACTTATTTAAGGCCGAGTTGACCTAGACGAGCCCAAGACCTCCAGCGCTGTCCTCCAGACAGTCTCGTCCCTTCACCTGATGAAGGCCGCTTGTGTTGTGGTCGAAACGTCGTGAGAATATTGTTTATTTTATCAATTTATTATTTTATTCTCATTCTACGTGACTACCGAAAGAACCAAAGAAGATGAGCCCAAGACCATTCAGATTCCTCATGCCCCACCACGCTGTGTCCACTAGATGGCACTAGCTGTCCGCATAGCACGCGTGCGCGTGTGTTCCTGTGATGTTCTCGCGAACAGCGCTTACCTCAACAGTCTGTTTACTTTAGACTTTATATAGCAGGGGGGGGGGGGTACAATCTTTGTTCTGGTGATCTTAACCGGTGCTGGGGCTTCCTTAGGTCGACTCCGCATTAAATGAGTACCTTGTACGATGTTTAAACAGCACACTGGGGAACAAAGGCGGCCGGGTGTTGTGCTGGCCACACACCGCCGCGTGTGCTGTGCCTGCTTTCATAGGGTGCCCGTGAACAGCACTTGCCCCAGAAGCCTATGTGGACTACACAGTGGAGAGCGGTCGTGCACTGGTTTGGCACACTCCACTTCAACCTGGCGACTTGTGTTGTTTGTCTGCTAGGGCTGACACCAGTGGCAAGTGGAATCTGAATCTGTTCTGGGGCTCGCCTAAGTGAACTCAGCCTTAAATGAGTACCGTATCTGGTGTGCTGTGCGAACCTATGTACTGAAGACAAAGGGGGCCAGGCGTCTTGCTGATAACACCAATCCACTTACAGTATTTACCATGGTGGCTTTAACTGGTGCTCCCTGACAGTGAATGGTCGTATGTGGGATCTTTGTTTTTGGTGTTGTGTGTGCACATCTGCTGAATGTGGGTTTCAACCCCGGTTAATGTGTGCAGAACCATTCCTGAAAGTCTCCAGACTTGGTCTGACTCTTCTGGTAAAATAATACATTATTTTAAAACAATAATTTTTCATGACTGTGTCAAAGGTTGTGCTTTGTGCACAGAAAAAAACGAATTACTCTTCCCCCATGGAGTAAAGAGAGGAAGGGACCTGGCTACATCTGATAAACCAACAGAATTTATAAAACAGATTTTGTTTGATGCTGCTGGTGCGTTGTCAGTGGTCCAGAAGCACATCTAAAAAACTCAACACACTCGTCAACACTGGTGTCTTTATCAATATATATTATTGATGACGTTTCAAGCACCAGCCCTTTGTGCAATACGCTATGACGAAGGGCCATTGCCCACAACGTTGCAGGTTATATGTTTTATTTTAAGGCAGTATTATTGATGAGTATGAGTCTGGACAGTCCATTGTCAATTGCAATGGTAACGTCGATTTACAATAATGAATTGCCTGTAGATGTTTGCTGACGTGACAGGTGTACTCTATGATACAGACAAAACATTGGTTTAAAAATTTAGCATCCCATTTGATTGTTAAAATAATTTGTATTCCCCAAATGGGAAAGAGCCTGTGCCAGAATTTGGAGAAAGAACATCAAATCCATACAAATGCAGTATTGAATTAATGGCAGTAAAAAAAATGCATGGTCCTCTTTGGTAATTTCTGGGCCGTGTTTAACTGCGGCCTGCTCAATAATCATACCATGTTCATAGCCATAGGCTATATGTATAAACCTGTGCATTAAACAAATATGAGTAAATTACCTCACTGATTAACAGAGCCCATATTTCAGCGGTGGCTGTGTTTCGATTCACGTTGAGCAGTGGTCAGCACACTGCATTATGAACTTTGTGACTCGAGTTTGAGTCCCGCCCATGGGTAACATCAGTGGCAGTTAATATCTAAAAGGGTCTTGGGGCACCCCTTCACCAACTTGCACTGACCAGTGTGGTGAAGTGTAGTTAATAACCGTCACGAACGACTTGACTGTGGGGAGGACTTCATCCAGCAGTGGATTGATCATGGAAATAATTGTTTATTATTTATCATTATTAGAGTTGATTATAATCGGCAATGGGCTCTTGAAGACTTCAGGCCTACAGCAAACTTAGATCCAACTGAATGGCTAATACAAAAAAAAGTGAATCTTGTAAATGCTTTGGCAACATACATTTACCCTTTTTGATGAATATTGCAAAACACCAACAACGGAAAAAGATCATTTTACTGTGCTTGTGTGCTGTTTAATTTCACGAATATTAAAAATGTTCACAATTCTTCCTTCTTTAAATCATCCGTTTTGTTTGAAGGTTCTTCCGTCTTCCCATCCTGAAAAAACACAACAAGAGCTCCAACCGATGATTGTACGCAACGCAATCTCCCTTGTAGATGATAATAAACTGACAAGTGTAGTCTAACAAAGACACGTGGTAATTGATTCTCAGTAGGCTGGCTTTGTATGATTCAATGTAACCGACATTGATCCAGCCGTTGTCCCTAAAACAGATACTTTATCGTGTAATTAAAAGTTGTGTTGATATATCACAAGAGGCGAGATTAAATTGCTTTAATTAACAAAAAAGTTGCACTAACTGTAAAAGTGGCTAAAATTAGAGCCTCATGTTTTAGGACAGGTCACGAACGAAGTACACTAATGAAAGAGTGATTGTATAGAAGACCAGAATAATAATGGTTATTTTATAGCCCATTTTATATACACTGTCCATTATGTGATATATGTCTCGTCCCTTCACCTGATGAAGGCCACTTGTGTTGTGGCCGAAACGTCGTGAGAATTTTATTGTGTTATTTTATTTATTACTTTATTCTCATTCTACGTGACTTCACCGAAAGAACCAAAGAAGATGAATCCTTGCAGTCACGAAAGCTTTAAATCGAAATTCATATATAACCGAGTTTAAGGGTTGAGGTTCGAGTCGGGTTTCGAACAAAATTTAGAATTAAGGGTCAGGCCTAGGGATGGGTTTAATATCAGGGGTTAGAGTTAAGGTCATAGTTAAGGTTAGGGCTAAAGTTAGGTCACATTTACGGTTAGAGTCAGGGTTTAAGGGTTGAAGTAAAAGTTAGGGTGACTGTGTTAGGTTTATAATTAGGGTTAGTGTACAGGTTAGGGTGACAGGGTGATTTTAAGTCTTAAGTTTAATGTAAAGTTTAATATCCAGGTTATAATCAGAGTTATGGTCAGGGTTATTGTCAACGTTAGTGCTAAGCTTATGATTCAGCTTTGAGTAGTAAGGGCTATGGCTAGGGTCAGCATCAGCATTAAGCTAAGAGGGCTAGGCCCAGAGTTAGGGTGGGGGGGTCAGGTTATGGCTGTTGCAGTGCGTTAGTGCTCACCGTGCCACCGCTGCTCACCGTGCCACCGCTGCTCTGGACTTGGCCTCCACTCTCCAGGAAGCGCGTGAAAGCCTCCAGTGTCCTCTCCCCCGTGTAGTTGATTATCTACACCCAAGCGCGGCAGAAGAGGAGGCACATACGAGTGGCTGGGCACGAGGCTGAGAAGCATGAACTGGGATCTGCTGTAAGTGTTGGTGCCGCTGTTTTTATTTTGACTGCATTGTATGTATGTTGAACTTCTTTCTCACCATACGTAGCCAACCGTGCTAATCGGAGGTGCGGGGAAGAACAACAAACTAAACACATTGGCTTGATTAAAAGAGTTAATAGGATCCCTGGTCTCACCAGGATACCCGTGCTCGGAATTTCATTTATCCTAAGATAAAATCACCTGGAATGCACCCAATGTCATCAGATCCCGGAAGCTAAGCAGAGCTGAGCTTGGATTGTGCTTGGGTGGCCACCATGACAGGTTGCCACAGGGTTTGCCGGCTTCATGGTTGGCAGCAGAGGGCAGTGCAGTAGCTAGCATCGTTCTGTACTGCTATGCTCCCTACCATCAGCAACCCCCACTGACCAGCATGGTGAAGTATGGTCAAATAACCACCACAACCCTCAGGGTACATATGATCTTCAGATAAAAATGTAACTGGCATTGGCCAAAAAATTCCAATACAGAAAAATTACCTGCAAATTACACTGTTCGGATGACACATAGCAAGCATTGCCCCCTACTGAAAAAACTTGGCAAGACCCTCCCAAAAATGAGTCGTGAGACTTGTGAGGCTTTCCTGGGTATAAAATAATAAAAACAAAACGTAATAAAATAAAATTCTCACGACGTTTCGGACACAACACAAGTAGCCTTCTTCAGGTGAAGAAACAGAACTGTCGGGACGATAGCGCTTCAATGAACACTGCTAAGATTCGCAGCGTCTTTTAAGCTAGGTGGGAGAGGTAAAGCGCCTTGACAAAGGAGTTTACATATCAAACAGGAGAATTTAGCATTGAAATAGCTGTGTTAAAGTGTTGGATCAGCAGGGTGTTAAAGTCAGAAATTAGCATGTAACTGGGAGATTAGCATGATGTTAATGTGAGGGATTAGCATGTAACTGGTCACGGAAATAGCTATGTTAAAGTCAAAGTTTACATATCAAGAGGCATTTAGTATATGGACGCTAAAGGCCTCCAATTACCAACTATTGTAAAGTAAACCATAGCGTCTTTTAAGTTCGGTGAGAAGCGTCGTGTTCGGTGAGAAGCGTCGTGTTCGGTGAGAAGCGTCGTGTAATGTAGAAAAAAGTTTAGTTGGAGACATATCAATATAATGCATAATGTTAGAGCTTATATTGGGCTGTGTATACGATATTATACAGTGTAGTTTAGATTGGAAGGTATAACATTGCAATGTATAGTAGTCTAGTTTATAACATAGTTGTAACGCAACACAGGACAGAGCGGCGCATCGTGGCTGTTTCTCTCTCTCCCCCCTCCTCCGTTCCGAGCATAGATGGACTCATCCGTCTGAACAAAGCTCGTCGCTTTCCGTGGTGCTAACGTTGAAAAGAAAAACCACCACCCATTTTTTCGCCATACGGCATTGTAATGTATAACGACTTATTGTTAGTAGCTCAGCTGATGGAGAGTATATAGAGTTTATTGAATACATTGATGTAGTTTATATTTTTTTTTTATTAGTTTACTATATGGTATTCATTATATAGTGTAGTGTATACCTAGTTACTTTATGTTAATAGCTCAACTTATTGAAGAATATATTGAGTACATTTATTATATTGATGTATCTTCTTTGGTTCTTTCGGTAAAGTCACGTAGAATGAGAATAAAATAATAAATTGATAAAATAAAATAACACAATAATATTATTGTGTTAATAATAAATTGATAAAATAAAATAACACAATAATTGATAAAATAAAATAACACAATAATATTATTGTTTTATTTATTTTATCAATTTATTATTTTATTCTCATTCTACGTGACTTTACCGAAAGAACCAAAGAAGATGAATCATTGCAGTCACGAAAGCTTTAAATCGAAATATATTGATGTAGTTTATAATTAGTTTTTTCACATCGGTTTATTGTATGATAGTTGGGTGGTTGCAGTCCTTTAGCATCCATATACTAAATGGCTCTGTTGATATGTAAACTTTGACTTTAACATAGCTATTTCCGTGACCAGTTACATGCTAATCCCTCACATTAACATCATGCTAATCTCCCAGTTACATGCTAATTTCTGACGTTAACACCCTGCTGATCCAACACTTTAACATAGCTATTTCAATGCTAAATTCTCCTGTTTGATATGTAAACTCCTTTGTCAAGGCGCTTTATTTCTCCCACCTAGCTTAAAAGACGCTGCGAATCTTAGCAGCGTTCATTGAAGTGCTGTCATCCCGACAGTTCTGTTCCTTCACCTGAAAAAGGCTACTTGTGTTGTGGCCGAAACATCGTGAGATTTTTATTTTATTATGTTTTATTTTTATTATTTTATTTCCATTCTACGTGACTTTACCGAAAGAACCAAGAAGATGAATCCCTGCAGTCACGAAAGCTTTAAATCGAAATTCTTTCCTGGGTAAACAAGCAAAGCAATAAAAATAGCGTATACACATCTCAAATAAATTGGACAAAAAAGAGAGTAGTCTCGAGCACAGTTTAGCTTTTCAATTTTGTTACTCTCATTTGTTGTGGATATAGAACACAGTAATGGTGCAGCCCTGAAACTGCTTGCTCATGCCACTGCTGGCAGGAGCGCCTCAACTCGTTGGAGCTCTATAGAGCCCCTCCAGAAGGCATGGTTGGCCTACTTTTTCAAGTTCGCCATATGTCTTGGAAGAGGTGGGAGTAACCGCACTTTACCCCACCGCACTCGACCTGCCAATTAACTGCGGTGCGTCGATTTAGAGTATTGGGTGGCCAGAGATGGGGGGGATTTCAGAAACTTGTCCTAGGTGATCGAACCGGTGATCTCTGGATTGCAACTTAAGTATGCTTACCAACAGACCACGACCGCATCCCTCCTTACTAAGTAATTCATCTTGGTGACAGTGGTGCACACCTGTAATCTTGCTTTCCAGGAGGTACAGCAAAATGTAGACTAATCTCCAACTATTCCATCTATATGGGGTAGAGTTACCCCTCGCACATGTCGGTTGTCTCGGGGTGGTCCGGTGCCCTCCCACACGTATGAACGCTCATTGCTTGGAAGAACTTGCGCATATATTAAGAACCGCAGACTTTGGGTAATTGTTGGCCATCTGTCTGCTTGCTGCCTTCCCGCTCGTCTGCAATCCTTTATTATCTCTTCGATTGTGCGCGGTGAAAGATGACTTTGTCACATTTCAAATACCGCTTTGCGCTGTCACCTTGGGATGTAATGCATGGGAGGTGCGGTATAAACAACAGAGACGACGAGGATGATCTCACCTTCTTGCCGGGCCCAGCAGGGAAGTATTTGATTTTCGGGTAGCCCGGGATGTGCACGGCGGCCACTTCGTTTTTCTCGGCGTCCATCTTGGCGATGACAATGTTGTCGTGGTCCTTGTACTGGACTCCGAGCTGCTCCCACACGGGCGCCAGCTTCTTGCAGTGATCACACCAGGAGGCATCTACGGCACGGGCAGCACCAGCGCCGTGGCGGCGCGACGTTAACTCCCTCGCCTCGAATGCAGGTCATGGGTTCGAACCCTACCCCAACACCTGTTTTATATTTGGAGTTTGCGTGTCTCTCTCCCCGTGGTCGCGTCGATCTTTATCCGGGTCCTCTTGTTTTTTTCCTTCCACATTTAGAAATATGCGTTTTGAGTATTTGGCTGCTATAACTTTCTACATGATAAGCCACTTCGTTGAGATATCACTTATAGCCAGGTCACTGCTGAAAAAGAGCTATATAACTCAGTGAGCCTTACCTGATAAAAAAAAAATAGTTAAGTTTCGGTGAGAGCCGACCCCACAACTCCAAGGTCAACATCTCTCTAGAGTAAACATTGTTGCCACGACTGTGTTATACTGGTTTAATAGTTGTTAGGTATCATCAGCACGGTACAGCCATTTTCTGTAGCTGCTGCTTTGTCCATGTGAACAAACCCTCCATGGTCACTGTGGGGACAGTTTTGCACTACCAAACTATATGAACACCCTTGCAAACAAGAATTTATATCTCAAGGAATTTCCCAGGTGAAATGTTTTAAGGAGATAAAACCAAAGCAACTTTTGCTACAAATAGGATTTTTGTGCAAATAATTATTGCTCATTTTTTTCCAGCCTCCATGCACTTTTTTCTGCCCAATGAGGTTCTTATCATTTAAATTAAGGATTGGAATTGATTGAAACATACTCTTTGGTTCTTTTGGTAAAGTCACATAGGTATAAAATAAAATAAATAGAAACAGTAGGGCGTTAGGAGCCGAGATGCCCATGTAGCTTAAGTGCTGATGCTGGTGTTCCCACCTATGATGTTATAAATACATAAATATATTGATTAATGTAATTTCGTGGCGTTCATGCAAATTTTATCTAACAGTTGCTGAGGAACCACAGACAAGCTGTAAGGCTTGTCCGGTCATCCTCGCAGCAGCAGCAGCAGCTTTGGCTAACCATTGAATAAAGACGGTCACTGCATCGCGTGCTTTCAGATGCACTTCTGCGGCCGTCTGGAAAGCTCTTCCTTACAATATTATAAAGACACTGGAGATAGGCACTTTAAATCACAAAATTGGAAACTCAATTCTGATGCTAAGCACGGCTTTGGGAGGTCTTCATTCATCAGTGGATAGTCATATGGCTGTACATTGTACAACTTTTTGCATATTAAAAAGAGGAACTTATATTGTCCATAAAGCTGCTGGTAATGTGCACTATTTTCCTTCTCTATTGGCATACACACAATCTCTTTTGTTCAAGCAGCCAGAATAAATGATATAATTAAGTTATTACTTAATCCAAAAGTGCCATTTCTTGTGACTCAGAATATGTGTATATATATACATCACGTGTAAAAGCAGTTGATGAGGCGAATGCGCTTCAGACTCACAGAATTCAACGAACACGTTTTTCGTTTCGTCAAACACGAATTCGTCGAAGTTTTTTCCAACCAGCACCTTGACCGGCCGCTTGTTCCAGTCCTTGGGGATTTCCTGCGATTTCGAGAAGGGCTGCGCGATGGCAGCAACACAACAGACGCACGCCGAGCACGTTCCGTTTGGCCGATCGCTACACCGTCACAACGTTCCCACGGCCCGTAAGCCTGCCTTAGAGGCTCTTCCCGCGCCTGCCATCAGTGATTGACAATATCCGAGTGGCAGGCCTGGAACACCTTGGTCCAATTACTTAGGGCGGACGAGTGAGCATGCCAGCGCGCGAGCGGAACGCGCTTCTGTGTAGGTCACCTATGACGCGTTCGGTGTGTCAGCTGTCGGGGGATAAAAATACGGGGATGAGCGGGAGCCCCTGATGAGATGTAAACGTGGGGAAAAGGTCGACAGTCTCCAAAGCACCAGAGCTAGACGGCTTAAATCGATCAACTCCAGACCTTTGAACTCTTTGTGCTCGGTTTGGTAAAATATTTCTGAAAGTCCTCAGCTGGCAATCATGATAAATGGCATCTGAAATGTTGAGAAGAAAAGGTGCAGCCCTGCAAGTGCTTACTCACGCCACTCTCTCAAGTGTCTTAAATCCCTCCTCCCTCCAATTCTCTCCACCCAGCGGTATAAACGCCGTTAGTCGATCGGCAGGTCGCGTACATGACGATAAACCACTTTGTTGAGCTATCATTTGTGGCCAGGTCGCTTCTAAAAGAGACACTAATAGCTCAGTGGGTTTTGCCTGTTGTAACTTTCTGACCCGCCCCTCCCCGACATCTGTGAAAAAAAGCTTTATAGCTCATCGGATTCCTCCAGTATAAATAAAGATTCTGATTCTGAAAGTGTGGGTACTCCCACCTCTTCCACGATGTCTGACCAACGTGAAACATTTGGCCAAACACCCTCTGGAAGGAGCCTCTCTATAACCGACTCTAATGGAGGCCCTTCTGCCAGCGCTACAGTGAACGAGCAATTGCAGGGCTTCGCCTTTACCCTTGCGAATACATTCTAAGTCAGTGGTTCTCAACATGTTTTGGTTACTGTACCCCCTTGTTGAATTTTGTTGCAACCGAGTACCCCGACCCAACATGGTTCTGAGAAATAAAAGTATGAATAATGTACGTAAATATTTTACCCAATTGTCCATTTTGTGAGGTATCCTAACTAGCTAGTAACTGCTAGTAACTGCAAGCGAATACAACAAAATTCAATGGATGCTCTGCATGCATGACATAATTTGTTCGCGCTCACTGGTTACTCTTGGAAACCACATTGTGTATGATCAATGCGTTTAGAAAGGTATTTTATATCGTTATAGGTCACTATATGAATTTAAATGCTCTCGTAATTATTTTATATTGGTAGATGCATACACGATTACTCGCCAATGACTCTCACCTGGGATATAATTTCACACATTGATAAATCGCCTCACGTACCCCATGAGACATTGCCACGTACACCATGAGACATTGCCACGTACCCCATGAGACATTGCCACGTACCCCATGAGACATTGCCACGTACCCCATGAGACATTGCCACGTACCCCATTGAGACATTGCCACGTACCCCATGAGACATTGCCACGTACCCCATGAGACATTGCCACGTACCCCATGAGACATTGCCACGTACCCCATGAGACATTGCCACGTACCCCCAGGGGTCCGCGTACCCCATGAGACATTGCCACGTACCCCATGAGACATTGCCACGTACCCCATGAAACATTGCCACGTACCCCCAGGGTTCCGCGTACCCCATGAGACATTGCCACGTACCCCATGAGACATTGCCACGTACCCCATGAGACATTGCCACGTACCCCATGAGACATTGCCACGTACCCCATGAGACATTGCCACGTACCCCCAGGGGTCCGCGTACCCCCAGCGCTCCGCCTCCGAACGCCCGAGAGGCTGTGTGGCACCGGCGCGGACTCACCTTGTTGTGCTCGTCCAAGTAGTCCTGGCAGAACGAGGTGATGTTGGCCGTGGTGAAGTCGCTAAAGGACGGCACGTGCTTCACCATGTCCTTGTTCACCTTGACCAGGCGGATCGCAGGCAGCCGCGCCCCGTCCGTCAGCTCAAACAGATCCAGCACGTTGTCGTTCTCCGGCACCGCGCTGTTCAGCAGCACAAACAGGATCTGTCCACAACACAAACCGGGAGGGGACTCTTAGAGCCGGCTGGGGCTATCCACATAGGTAAAGCAGGGGGGGCGGGGGGGGATATCTAATTATTCGCAAAATCCATTAGTCCTACCAATTATCAGCTCCATTACAAGACTAACGATAAAAAATAAAAATAAAACTATTTGCATTTATTTGGCATCTAAAAGCATTACAAGATGATGTATAGAACGATAGGATGTGGATATCCTGGGCAGAGGAGGTATATATTTAATGAATAGAGGGAACGCGACAGACAGGTGGAATAGAGGAAGGTCTTGAGGCTGGACTTGAACAGGAGCAGGGAGTCGAAAGCATGGATCGCTGTGGGGGGTGCAGTGCTTGCTGCTTCTCAACCAAATTAAAACTAAACTATTTGTTTTTATTTTACCAGGTAAGGCCCCACTGAGCTCTAAAGCTCTTTTTCAGAAGCGACCTGGCCACAAATGATAGCCCAACGAAGTGGTTTGTCACGTGAAAATGTGTTGCAGCCAAATACTCTAAACGCATGTTTCTAAATGTGGAGGGAAAAACTGGAGGATCCGGAGAAAAATTCACGCAACCACGGGGAGACATGCAAACTCCAAATATACAGACGTCAGGGTCGGAATAAAACCAGGCAAGGTAGTTAACATCTCACCACCGTGGCACCAAGGTGGAGAGATGGGTTTCACGTTTCTTCACGTGTATCGGTGCGTGTGACACAGCAATGCAGTTGTCTTTTGCTGACTTCTGAGTCTGTGCCTAGCAGTATTTCAATCAATCCGTCAATCTTTACTTTACGTGGCAACATCGCCCTCAATAAAGTAGGCATCAGTGCACATTATAATGGTTACAGGGGCATACAGCAACAAGAATAAAAACACGTTTCATTGTATTCGGCAGCTCTGTTGAGAAAGAGCGAACTGACGAGGAGCGGAGGCTGACGTGCCACGCTTCCACGCGGCTATGGACTTGCCTTTCCTCTGAAGGGAGGAGCAGCCGCCTTGAACTGCTCAAAGAGCTCAGGGAATCCTTCTGAGGAAGCGTTGGCGAACAGCAGGATGTGCACATTCACCAGCCCGCTGAAGAGCAGCGGGAACGTCTGCACCGTGCACCCACACAAGCATTCACACCCATGGACTACTGCAGTATGGGACTTAAAAATAGATAAGGGTGCAGCTCTGAAATGTCTTGCTCGTGCCACTGCTGGCAGAAGGACCTCCGCTAGCGGGTGTCTACCACGCACGGTGGCCAGATGTCTTGGAAGAGGTGGGAGTACCCACACTTTACCTCACCACACGCGACCTATTGGTCGACTAACTGGTGTACCCATCTCTACTGTACTGCTGGGTAGACACTGGGCAGAGATTGGGGGGAGGGGGGCTAGGCAAGACAGCGGATTTAAGAATCCTGCTTTTTGTTTCAACTGCCATGACGGAAGTTCAAATCGATCGGGTTATCTCTGCATTGCAAGCCCAGTGTGTGAACCGTTGCACCACAGCAGCATCCATCCCATGTAAAACTCTTTTTGTTTATTTCTCAGGATTGGGATTTATCCTAATGAAACGTTGAGTCAAATTTTATAGGATGGGTTGTCGTGGAGTTATTGGTGCCTGGACTGAGACCATTAACTCCCTATACCTGAGCACCCAGTTTAATTATAGGTAGCTGCCCGAATTTCAAGTTATGATATCAGCAGTGCTGGCTCAGTGCTATGACCCCTGGGTCACCAGCCCTTCTTGGATAATATCACAAATTTGTGATCGAGTAAAGAAAAAACATCTTCAGTAAAGTGAAATTAACAAAATAATGATTCGTACCCCCCCTCCCCCCCCCCCTTAGCAAAGAAACACAGTGGGCCCACGCCTGTGAGGAACATGTTCGTATTATTTGCTATTTGCGCCAACCGACGAAACTCAAGTGCTTGTGACGCGACGAACGCGGATGCCGGGCAGTCACGGCACCTCGTCCGAGTAGGTGACGACGGACGGGAGCTCTTGCAGCTGAACAAAGTGCACCAGCTTCTCCCGCTCCACCTGCTCCGTGAAGACCACCTGGCCCTCGTCAAACTGTCGGCAAACCGACCACGGGGGGCGGGGGGTGAGGGAGTCGCTCAACAACAACAGGAAACGACAGTCGTGGGGGGGGGGGGGGGGGGGGCACCACGGCTACCCACAACGCATTGCGTCATCACCAAAGCAGCCGGAAAGCGAGACGCGAACGGGCGGTGAGGGACTAAACCGCGGAGAAGATGCGGTTCAGACCTCACTGAGGGCCGATCATCATCATGACCTCACTGAGGGCCGAACATCATAATCATCATGACCTCACTGAGGACCGATTATCATCATGACCTCACTGAGGGCCGATCATCATCATCATGACCTCACTGAGGGCCGACCATCATCATCATCATGACCTCACTGAGGGCCGACCATCATCATCATGACCTCACTAAGGGCCGATCATCATCAAGACCTCACTGAGGGCCGAACAACGCTTTCAAATACCCAGTGCCGAATTTCGGAGCCGGAAGGTCCGGAATATTGACCTGGGCATTATTTTGGCACGCCGCATCCATTCATAGGATTATAGGGAACAATAATATAGTTACTATGGAGTGGTATTACCTTATGACAATAATCGCTGCTCACAGCCAGCCCAGCAATGTTCCAGAAAATATCGAGTGAGACATTAAGCCCTGCAAATACCCTTTGGTGTGCAACCACACATTAATACTCACCTCATGCTGAGCATCCCTTCCTTACAAGCTCTTGCCAGGTACTACTAGAGGCATCGTGAGGAGAAGATGCCTACTTGATTTGAAGCTTTCGTGACTGCAGGAATCAATACTCTTTGGTTCTTTCGGTAAAGTCACGGAGGTAGAAAATAAAATATATCACTGATTTATTTTATACTTAGGTGACTTTACCGAAAGAACCAAAGAGTAAAGATGCCTACTGCTCGACTGTTACTGGCTTCTACCTTGCCCTATGTATGTATATATAACTTATTCTTTGGATCTTTCGGTAAAGTCTCGTAGATAGGTTCAAAGAAAATAAGAAAAAACTACGACGTATTGATCGCAACACAAGCGGTCGTCATCAGGAAAAGGGAGTTAGCTTCTAAAAGCAAACTGTTTATAAAGGTTTAAATTGGGCATAGCCCAAATGTCAGCAGCATTGGTGGGGCAGCTAATGTTAATGTAGGTGGTGGGCGGTGACTGCGACGGTGGTGGGTTTCCACCAATTAAAGGGCTGCCAGTTAAAAAATTAGCATGTTAATGTGAGAGATTAGCATGTTAATGTGAGATTGGTGAGCGGCCTCCACGGCGAGCGTGCTGAGGTGGCTATATTAATGTGAGAGATTAGCATGTTAATGTGAGAGATTAGCATGTTAATGTGAGAGATTAGCATGTTAATGTGAGAGATTAGCATGTTAATGTGAGAGATGAGCATGTTAATGGAGTACGTAGAGCCGCAACCTCGAGGTCGGCGCGAGAAGGTGGCTGTGTAAGTGTGAGAAATGTAACCTGTTATTGTGAAATCGGAGAGCTGAAAATAACAACTAATATCGGAAGGTGGTAGGATGGGATCATCACAGCCAGTTATGAATTAAACTGGTTGATAACGTCCTTCAAATGTTTGCTTAGTTTGTACCCATCTTCTCGGTTGAAATTGTGTCTGTGTCTGTATATATGGATAGCTTCATGAAATAATCTCTGTTCATAGCCAGTGGGTTTGCAAAGTACCTTCGTCTTTGAGAAATCAATTTTGTGTGAGCCCACCGCATTAAAACAATGATCAGCCACGGCCGACGTATTGTCCGACCATGTTTCAGATCTGCCTTATATCCACTAGCACGGTCTGAGACATGCCGCTTAGTTTCCCCAATGTAACTACTGCCGCAGACACAGCTTAGTTTGTAGACGCTGGGGTATTGCATGTCAGGGATCACATCCTTCACAGATGGGATCAGATCACAAACTTTATGTATTGTGTTAAATGGAACCTAGGTCTTGTGTTTGCTCAAGATTTTGTAAATCTTTTTGGTGACCCCTGCTATGTATGGCAAGGTGATGGTTTTGATTGGTCCTCAGATTGTTCTTTCCAAACGGATGGGGTGATAGCTTTACGGATTGTGTAGTCTGAATATCCATTCATCTTGAGAGCTTGGTGTACATGTTCCAGTTTACTGGCTAGGTGATGATGGTCGGAAATACATTGAGCTCTATGGTGTAGAGTTTTGATGAGGGAATTCTTCCTGGATGGATGGAAGTGTTCGTCAGGTTTAAGATAGGCATCTGTATGGGTGGCTTTCCTGTAGACAGTGTCCCATTGAGCCATCTGGACTTTTTGATTAAAACATCCAAGAATGGTAGCTTGCTATCCTTTTCTACTTCAATGGTGAATTTGATGGCTGGGTGTATGGAATTGATGTGGTTGAGGAATTGGTTCAGAGCTGGTCGGCCATGTGGCCAGATGAGGAACGTGTCATCTACGTACTACTTCCAAAAGGACGGACGTAAAGTGGATGCCTGAATGGCAGCTGTCTCATATTTCTCCATGAAAACATTGGCTACAACTGGAGATAAGGGAGAACCCATTGGGGTACCTTCAACTTGTTTGTAGAATGTTTCCATTCCAGGTGAAGCAAGTGTTGGTGAGACAATGTCTCACCAGGGCCGGTACATCAGCATTCAGTCCTTGTTGGACCAAATCTTCAATGATTGCAATGGTGTCAGGCACAGAAACTTTGGTAAACAAAGAGACTACATCGAAACTAACGAGCAAATCACCTGGAGATAGTGAGATGTCCTTAATTAACGATACCAAGTGAGCAGAGTTAAGTACAGCTTACCAGTGAATAGATGTAAGGTCTCAGACAGAAATCAGGCCAGTTTGTCGGTGGGTGAGTCAATGGTGGAGACGATAGGACGAATGGGTGTAGCTTCTGTATGGATTTTTGGTAAGCCATACAATCTGGGTGGTCTAGCAGCAGAGGGTTTTAAGGAAAATCGCTTGGTTGGTTCGATTAAAGATGTCGAATCGGTGATGATATTGTTGGTGTTCGTAAGGAGGCTGTTGGTGGGATCTCTTTTAAATTTGTATAGCTACCATCATTAAGTAGGTCCTAAATTTGTTATTGTATGTGGTTTTGTCCATGATGACTGTGGCATTGCCCTTGTCGGCTGAGAGGATGACGATGTTATCTCTCTTTTTTAATTGAGAAAGCTCAAAGCGCTCATCCTTACTGATGTTGCTAATTGGTGTCTGAGCATTTTTGAGGATTGCAGCGAATTCCAATCTTGCCACGACTGCAGTAATGTGTCCCAAACCTTTAAGGGCTACGTCAACCTGGGCAATGATATCATCAATTGGGATGCGCTTAGGGGTGACTGAGAAATTCAACCCTTAAGCTAGAACCGATTTTAGGCTGTCGGAAATTAGACCATTACTCTGACTGATAACAATCTTGTCACCGTCTAACTTTTTAACGTGTGGATCTGGCTTCTTCTTGGAAAAGAGGTTGAATTTGGAAATCAGGTTATCTTTGCATTTATCTGACATTGAGGCGGCTGAACTTCCTATGTAGAACTTCTTTCGCACCGTACGTAGCCAACCGTGCTAATCGAAAGGTGCTTCTGTCGTTTCCTAAAAATAGCTCATTGTTCACCTTCTTGAAGAGCACAATGGAGTCACTTGAGACGCCGTATTTCGCGAAAACCTCTTCGCTTGACGTGACACCGAAGGGCACCTCATCATATGTGTCGGCGATCTCCAAGAAGGTCTTCAGGTCGCGGCTCTCCGTATCCTGCACAGGGAGGGGACGTGAGTTAATAGCCTGCACCTCCGATTAAGATGGTTGGCTACGTATGGTGCAAAAGAAGCTCAACATACACACCTACAAATGGCACCCTCGGCAGTATCACCACCACTCGCAGTTCAGGCTTTTGATGAGAGCCGGGATCTCCGATTATTTGCGAAATCGATTACTCAACAGATTGTCGGTTCTATTACCCGGCTAATAAGACAATACAAAAATAATAGGGGGAAAAAATGCAAGTTTCAACTTCTTTCCTATGTGTGCCGCTGGACGGGAGGTGATGGGCGTGGCTTGGTGATGTAATCGGCATTAACATCCGCGTCACGGCAGGAGTGGCTTTTGGGGTTGCCCGCCTTTGGGATGGACCCAAGCAATCAACCACCAAAAAAAGTCATCCATTATAATTTTTAATTGCTAAATTGACTTAATTGTCCAAACGCTAATTTCGAGTAATTTGATTGGTCACTTGTCCTTCAGTTAACAAAGAGAGAAACCATTGGGATGCATTACGTCTTTTGCAATCGTGTTTTTGTAAATTGTATTGACAAAGGAAGAGCGCTCTTAATTTATCAATAGATTTTTGGGGCAACCTTTAGAGCCAGTCATGTGCAGTGGCTGCAGGCCAGGCAAGGCAATGGAGATCCACCTCAGGTTTCCAGCCAAGAAATCCATGCAGCTTCGTGGGAGCACAGCCTTTATGTTTGGGTTGCTAGGTCATGCATTGTGAGCGGTATACTCTGTGTTGTGTACACTGTGCTGTGTACTGTGTGTTGCGTATGCTTCACTGTGTACTGTGTTTTGCGTGCTCTGTTGTGTACTATGCACTGCGTACTCTGTGCTGTGTACTGTGTTGCGTACGCTTCACTGTGTACTATGCGGTGAGTACTGTGTGTTGTGTGCGCGTCACTTTGTACTGTGTTGCGTGCTGTGTTGCGTACTCTGTTGTGTACTATGCACTGTGTACTGTGTGTTGCGTGCTGCGCTGTGCACTGTGACAGGTGCCGTGTGCCGCTCGCTGTGCACGATCAGTCCTCCTCCTTCTGCTCGCCTTGAAGAACCCCAGAAGCACGAGGCTGTCGGAGTCGACGAAGGCCTGGGCCTCCGCCGTGGTGGCCACAGTCACGGCTGGGGGCCCCGCTCGCCTCGTCGCCCACTTGGCCAGGGCCTCCGCTTCCCACAGGCCTGGCCCATCGCATCCACCACACGCGCCGCGCACACCGCAAGTTGCTAATCCCAAACCACGCTCGCAAGAGAGGATTTTAGTCTGGGTGCTCCCAACCTGCTCCTAAAAAAATAGACATTCAAAGCTTGAAATTGAGTGAAGAATGTTGTGTTGAACATTATATATCCCCTGACATGATTCGTAGTAGTAGACCCTTATTTGCAGGCATTAAGGTCCAATTATTGCCAAATTCAAAAACTGCACCGCAAATTACTCTATGAACTGATACATAGCAATCATTGCCCCCACTGTCATTCTTGCAAATGAGACGATCCTAGCCTCTTGATGTCTCAGCTGGTTAAGCAAATAAACGTGGAGTACACCAGGCTGAGACTACCATCATCTCGCTACACTCGAGACGCCGGTTTAAACGATTACCGGCAAAATCACAATAGCGGCAGCTCAGCGCCCTCACACTGGAGCTACCCAGCCATCCCTAAAGGTTTTATTTTTTATACCCAAAAAGATTACAAAAATAGTTTTGTTTTTTCTGGCAGGTTGCCAAGAGTCGAGTGAAGTCTGTCATCAGTATTATCAAGCGCCGGTCATTGTCATTATGGGGCCGATTTGTAATCCAGCAATTTGAAGGCATAGGTTGGTGGCTCACGCAGAATCCGTTGGGCTGTAAAGTGGACAGAAAATTGCAGTGCAGCATGAGGGTTCATGACCCCATGCGTGCGAACCTCTTGAGTGTTATTCTCTCGTACGCGTGCGTTTCCTGGAGCAACTCGACTTTTCTTCCACATAAAAACCACTGCTTAAAAATGAATTGGCCGCAGATCCCAATGCAGGGCATAAATTTGAAATCAAGTTAGGCTTTTCTGGATAAGCAAAGGACAGTGATATTATTAATCTTGATTTGAAGCTTTCTTGACTCTTTGGTTATTTCGGTAAAGTCACGTAGGTAGAAAAAATAATAGATGACAACGTTTCGATCGCAATGCAAGCAATCGTCATCAGGCGGAAGAAAGAGGAAGCTGCTGATGCTGGCTGCTTTTAAAGGTTAGAGATGGGCGTAGCCCCAGTCATAAACGAAGAGGTGGGGGGGGGGGGGCTAGTGATGTTAAAGTGAGAAATTTGCATGTAAATGTACTGTGTAAATGTGATTAGCAAGTCAATGAAGGCGTGCTGCAATCAGTTGGTACACGCTGATACAGTAATGTGATTACAAAACTGAGAACGAAGGGATGTAGTACAACCATAATGAGTAGTTACTGCATTAAGTAATATGGTTACAGTAATTATGCTGTGCGTGTAACTCACTCCCCAACGCTGCCTGTGGGTGGCTGCATGAAATGTGAGTGCAGTGAGAAGTGACGATGACATTTATGAAGTGTTTATTCAGGTAGTAGATTCATAAAAAATAGGTTAAATATTGTTTTTATATAAGGAAAGTAATTCGGTATTAAGACTTATTTATTTTCAATGATGAATAAATAATCTATTTCTTTAAGTATTGATATATCCACATTTGTATTGGGAAACCCTCCACCACCCGACATAGCCAAAACTAATTAAATAGTCACATTTACTACCAATTAATGCTCCGTCTATTATTTCTTCAGCGTGAAGTCTTTTTTCACGTGGGTAGAAGCAGGACTGCTTGGAGAAACCCCACACCAGTGAGGGGAGAATCCTGAAACTTTATAAAGGCAGGCCACAAATAACAAAGTCTGAACACGGTTCTACATAGGAAACCAAATAAATATATATAGCAGAAACATGCATTTAGAATATTTTGGCTGCTATACATTTCCATGCAATGAGCCACTTTGTTGAGCTATCATTTGTGGCCAGCTCTCTTCTGAAAAAGAGCTTCATAGTTCAGTGAGTCTTACCTGGTAAAATACAAAAATAGTAAAAAAAAGTTATAATAGGCAACGTTTGGGACAATAGTTTTTCTTCACAGTCCAGAGAGGTTGAGTGGCGACTGGGCTACACACCATGGGCTCCTGAGCCCCCTCCTAAAGGTACCGCCTCTGTTTTCCAGTCCCTTCATGCACCATCCCTGCATGGTCCACCAATCCCACTGTGTGCATCATCGTAGTCACCACACCCGACATTTGGAAATGGGACATGAACACCTCGTGGGCGGCGGGGTCTATTTGATTGCATCAAGAAAAACATGGTAAAAAGGTCGTTGTGGCGTATCAATGAACCCCACCTGCCCGTAAGCATGACACACGGTGTGAAGGTCTGTGGAGATGAGGTGGCAGACGGAACGAAAAAAATGATACATCGCAAATTTTGTCATCTTCTTTGGGCTTTTGTTGTGAGATGTGAGATAGTCGATCTGAGAGCGGAGTTTGTGCGGAGATGAGGAGCGCGCGTTCCCAGATCGAGTTACACGTGACGCCAGCTCTGCTCAGCATCACGTGACGTTTGCGTCTGCGTCCTAATCTGCTGTTGTGCTGGTAGCGTGCTTACAGTCGTGGTGGCGTGGCTACTGGGGCTGCTGTACTTGTAATCTGGAGTGTTCATGCCCACACGCATGTCGTGACGCACGAACTGTGAACGTCAGACGTGACTGAAAACGCCCAGAAATTGTTCTCGTGTTATTAATTTTTATTATAAAATGTTCCCCCTTGTACGCCACAAAGTCGCTCGTAAACATAGGGGCGGATAAATACATTGTCAATGGGTAGTCAAATGAAGGGAAAATTGTCCAGACTTGTAAAACCCACAGTGGTAATCTTTACATTTATGCTTGCTTAAATGCCTAAGTATGTCAAAACGCCTCACGTCAAATGTCATCTCCAACATTTGACGGAAACACCCAGTGGCAGCTGTCCCTGCGTGGCAGATGGTGACTCAACACAAGCCTGCAAGTGGCCATTAGTCTGCAAGTAGGGGGTCCACGATTGCTATTAATGAGACCATTTAATTATTGTTATCATCACGATCATCAACCATGATCTACCCATTGCAGGATGAAGGCCTGCCGCCAGTGTCTTTCACAGGCCCTGCAATGCAACAATCCACCTAACCCTTAATACAGAGCTTTATTGCAAGAAATGTGAACCAAATTAATCAATCTGAGGGTTCACCAGCATGCCACAGTCATTTGTGTGATCGCCAAAGTGCAAAGTGTCCAAATAAGCCCTGCTATTCTACTCACACGGTACAGCATCCTTGTATGTATGGATGTTGAACTTCTTTCGCACTCGAAGTAGCCAACCATGCAAAGTGCGGGGGAAGAACAAACTAAACACAAAAAGCAGTTCTAAAGAAATTAGTTTTCAATCTAGGTGATTTAAAAGTGCATAGCTCCAGTGGCTTCATAATTTCGGAAGAAAGAGCGTTCCAGACGGCCGCAGAAGCGCATCTGAAAGCACCGCAATGCGGTGACCACCGCCTTTGTTCAACGGACAGCCAAAGCCGCCACTGCGAGGATGACCACAGTGGTGAGGGTTTATGCTCTCTGACGAGTTACTATTTTACCATTTATTATTTTACCTGTTCAGGCCCACTGAGCTATATAGCTCTTTTTCAGATGGGACCTGGCCACAAATGATAGCCTAATTAAGTTGTTTTCGTGTGGAAATTTATAGTAGCAGCCAAACACTCTAAATGCTTGTTTCCAAATGTGGAGGGAAAAACCGGAGGACCCAGACAAAAATCTAAGTGACCACGGAGAGAACATGCCAACTCCAAATATACAGGTCTTAGGGTTGGGATCAAACCCCTGACCTCCTGCATACTAGGCGAGGTAGTTAACTGCCACCGAGGCACCCAGCTCACGACGACCCATCCTGCCATGGAAAAAATGAGGACAATCGTTGCATCGCTCCCTCTCGATCGTCTCTCCCTTGCGATAGTCGCCCATTGTGTGCCTGTTCGAGATCTGACGGCTAATTCAAAGTGCCCGCAGTGCGCTCCCAGCTTGCGCCGCCTCTATCACCGATGAACAAGTCTCGGCTGTCAGTCATCGCTGGCGAGTGCAGGCTCCGACGAGAAATAACAATGAGAAAATCAAGGAGGTGCCATGTTTCACATTTATCACTGTCAGCCTTGTACGAAAGTTTAAAAATGTTATCGTGCTGGTCTTGTTTTCACGATCGTTTTCGCGATTGAATCGTTGGTTATCTTTAGCTCGGAACTTCAATTTGCACTGAATATTTTCCTGGTCGCTGGTAGACTGCAGTAGAAATGTAATTAGTGATCCACAGTCATGGTAAATGGTACACTGGATGCGGTGTGCCAGTTTGCTAAATATTATCCAGGCCAGTAACCCAGATAGACGCAGCTGAAATGAAGCATGTCCCTGGCCATTTGTGAAGCCTCATTGTGGGGGTGACGGTGACTGACTCTTGACTTGATTGGAGATTCAGTGGGGGGAATGGAGCATGAGAGCTTTTCCCCAAAAGGAGTTTGTGAGGAACTTTATTAATTAGCGACGTTTGGCTAAGTACAGTGCGAACGAAGTTCAACATACATAAATGCATACACCACCAAATTTAGAAATCTTGCATACGTTAGTCTCATATTGTAGATGTTATGTTTTAGACATTACTAAGGTTCAAAGTTATCCTTTTTAATTCGTGCGCTATGAATCTAGCAATCTGAGTTTGATTCCCGGTCATGCCTAACATCAGTTGCAAGTGAGATATGAACCGGTTCTGGGTCCCCCTCGCTTCACCAACTGTCACTGACCAGTGCGGTGAAGTATGGTCAAGCAACCCAAAAGGCAGACGTGTGGAGGAGGCCTTCATAGGCAGGTCGCCGGGTTCAGAGCACAGCGCGCTACGCAGCGCGCTACAATTCCACCCAAGAAAACCTAAGATAACGCCATCGGTTTGGCCCTTGTGTGTATTTGTGTGCAGCGCACAAGAACGAGGCTCGGCGTGACCACGCGCCGTCACGTCGTGCGCATGGGAAGCCGTGGCGGCGGCGGTGGAGTGGCGGCGCTCACCGTGGTAGTGCCGGGGCTTGGCGCGGGAGCCTGGATCGAAGAGCAGGAAGTCGGGGTAGTGGGAGACGTCGAACTCGGTGGCGAGGGTTGCGTGCGTCTCCCCGTCCAGCGAGCCGAGCCGCACCGGAGCGCCGCGCTCCCGGAGGAGCTCGACGGTCCGGGCAAGCTTGGGCGGCAACTCGGAGCACTGCTCGCAAGAGCCGGACACTGCTCGTGCCGAGACAGGGGTGGGACAGCAGGGGTTCAGATGCAACTGTTGTGTTACTCAAGTCCGGCAGGGTACACATGGGTAAAGACAGGTGCGTGTGTATGTGTAGTGCCGTGAATTCACTCGGACGACAACCGCCTTTCTTCCACCGTCACTTTTATTTCCATCGTTCCGCACACACACACACTATATATAATTTCACACACACACACTATATATAATTTCATACACACACACACTATATAATTTCTCCTCTCCGCGCTCCGCCAACTCGAACACTCGAATTCCCCTCAGCACCGTCCGCTCATACTCCTTGTCTTCCCACACAGTCTCTTCTTCACTCCCCCCACACACAGTGGTTCTCTCTCTATCTCCTCACACGCAGTGACTTATCTATCTCCGCACACACAGTGACTTGTCTATCTCTTCACACACAGTGACTCGTCTATCTCTTCACACACAGTGACTTGTCTATCTCTAACTCTCCCTGTACCTATCTCTCCCGTAACTACCACTCTGCTAACGCTAACTCTCCCTATCGCTATTTACTGTCCTTTGGGTTTGGCTCTCAATCTATTCTTCCCTAACATATGCCGGCTCTCCTCATCGCATCTCTCGTTGCTCTCTCCACCTCTCGCCAACAACTCCCCAACAACAACTCAACTCCCCGTCCAAATCACCTAGCGTTTTATCCCCTTTCCAATCAGCCTTAATTAATTGCCACGTGTCTCGCTGGCATTTTTCCACCAGCTCGCACCTGTCCAACGGTCCAGACTTCGTGACGCCGCCACTTAACGCTAACAGCCTCTCGACCAATCACAGCCCTCGTGCCATGACTCCCTTAATTACTTTGATTTGTTCACGCCACCCGTGACTTCACCACCTGCTCGACCTTATGTGACCCACACTGTTTGTATGTCTGTATGTACTGTATATGGCCAATTTACCCATGCGTATCTTTTACTCCACTACATCTGTATGGACGTTGAATTACTTTCGCATCGTACGTAGTCAACCGCGCTAATTGGAGGTGTGAGGGGAAGGACAATAAACTAAACACAAAGCAGTTCTGAAGAAAGGAGTTTTCAATCTAGATGATTTAAAAGTGCATAGCTCCAGTGGCGTCCTAATATTGGAAGGAAGAGCGTAACGCATCTGAAAGCGCGCGATGCGGTGACCGTATTTGTTCGATGGCCAGCGAAAAGCAGCTGCGAGGATGACCGGGGTTCACGTGATGATGGTTTATGCTCCTTGACGAGATTCCAGTGTATCATCCTGTCCTGGTTTTACCAGGGTTGGCCTTGTTTTGAGGTAGCTGTCCATGGGAAATCTAAAAGTTATCCTTGATCATTAAATATTAGCAGTTCAGGCTTTTGTCAGTGACATGTAGTTCTCCCATCGTGTTAATGTGAGATATTCTGCCCATGACATGTCCCAGTTTTTTTTGTATGTATCTCAGAGGTGGTAGCACTACATATATATATCAATGGGCACTGATGCTGTTTACTTGCTGATAGATGAGGCGGGGTGAGACGCATCAGTTGTGTTACTCGTGTCCAGAATTTACACATGGACACGGCATTTACACAGAGGCACGTCCGTGGAGGGGGGGGGCAATGTCACTTTTAAGGTCTTCTTCGGACGGCTAGGGAAGCAGTTGCAGTTTTAATGCCGAGGTTTAGCGATCCATTCAACCGTTTCAGGTGAGGCAGAGTGAGTGGTCGCGATGCCACTGGGGAAGGATCTCTCAGGGCACGAGTTCAGCACGTAGGGCAATCATCGTCTGGCTTGGGTGGCCACAGTCTCCATTTGGGCTGCTCCTCACGCTCCACTTGTGGGGCAAGTGGCCGCACCTTCCCTGCCCTCAAGTGTTCGAGGGTTGTCCAAGTTTTCCGTGGAAGGCTGAACCCTGGGACTTTACTGCTCGGGTCAGCTACCAGGCTACGATCAGTGGTGGTTGCAGTGAGTACGACTTATCTACTTAGATATATTAATAAATGAATCTTAATAGTTATATCAGAGCCAATTGACACTAGAAAACCAGCACAGTGTACAACAAAATATCGTATAAAACACCATTTGAAACAGCAAAGTTAAGTATACATATTTTACGTAAAATGCGAATAATTAAACGTTAAATAGTTAAGTGGGTAAAAGCCCATTATGGGAACAGTGGCACGGTTGTTAGCGCACTGTGTTACAATCCTAACAAGTGATAGCTAAAAGCCCCAACTTCACCACTGCGCACTACCAGCGTGGTGAAGTGAAACAACCCCCACGATGGAAACTGTGCAGTGGATTGAAAAATGGCTGCATCTATATCTCTACATCAACTCAAGCCTCCCGTAAATCACGTGACTTCTGTGTAGCCACCCCCACCGAATCCCTCCTCTCTCTACACCCCCTGTGAAAACAGACGCAAATCCACGCAGCTCACTTCTGCTCGCTCCTCCTCTCCCCTCTCTTTCCTCCTCCGTCTCCCATCACCACCAACACCTGGGCCCGGTCATTCCTCCTCCCCTTCCTGCACCGGCGCTCCTTCCTGAATCCTGCTGCTCATCTCGAGCCGTGCCCTCCATGTCCGTCTTTGGAAATTCCATTCCGGCATCATTTCCCGTTTTTTTTTTCATTTTCCATCTGTTATATCCTATTTATAATCCTATCATCGTGGTATTTCACACGTAGTGTTTATATACATTTAATTAAGAGCCCAATAAGATCAGAAGCGTATTTTTTCAAAGGAGATAGTGATTTATTCCAGTGTCTGAACAGAAAAAAATCAACCCAACATATTCATGATTACAGATTGGGCTGTCGGATCCACCACTCAGACGATACGAATATAAACGCCTTCAACATCACGTTACACGGTGTTCTGTCGTTCGCATCATGTGGTTATATTCTGCACGAATAATATGTTTGGCTTTTCCAGGTCTCCCTTGGGTGAAAGGCATTCAATCAAGAAAAATGAAATACGTTCAGAGTAAACATTGAACAGAAAATATATTGCTATAATTACCTAGAATACTTATAAAACACAATATAACTGTACCTGTAAATGTGTATCACTTGTGCAAACGTTTGCATTCACCATTGAGCCACGTTGCACAGAATCAGTGGTTAGATTCCTACCACAGTTGGACGGCGACTTTACGAAGAATTTCCTAAGTGTGCAGTTTGTCGTAAAATACATGTTTAAGATCTTGTGACGTAATTGACAAGAGTAAGTCCTTGTGTGCCAGGGGAGCAACATTCCCAGCTCAGACATGTCTCGAGCGAAATACTAAAAGGGGTGGAGCGGTGGCACAGTATTTAGCACACCACGCTCGAACCTGGGTGACCCGAGTTTGATTCCTGGAAATGACTAATATCGGTGACGAGCGTTATGTGAACCGGTTCTGAGCCCCCCACTTCTCCCAACCAGCACTGACCAGTGGAGTGAAGTATGGTCAATCAACCCCCCTTCCTACGAGCCACACGGTGCAGGGAGGTTGTCATCTGGCAGTGGATTCACCAAGGGCTGGACTAAGTTTAACACTTTCATAAATGTTGCCGTGGGACGATATCTTAGGGGGCTTCATTTCTCACTAGATATTTTCCATAACGCTGCAAGGCTGGCTTGGAGTAGGGATTACTGGCATAAGGCACTACGACTAGAATACAAAGTATGCCAATCCATGATAACGACAGTAACATTGAGTAGAGGAGTAGAATGGGGAAGTGGCGTCACGTGTGCTGTCCAGGGCGATGACGTGACGTCATGCGCTCGGGGCAGCAGAATGACGTCACGGCTCCTCAAAGAAAAAAGGGGAACCCCGTGACGTAAGCGGGGTCGTGGCTGGAGGGTAGAGTTGGAGAAGGGTGGAACGGGGAGCCAGGGGCAAGAGGGCAGGGATAGGGGAGAGCAGAGTGCCAGGCTAGACGTGGCTGTGCTCCTCAGTCGGCCGTGTTGGTTGATCCCACGGCCGGCACAGAGGAGACAGCACAGGGCAGCCGGCTGTGTCGGGACCTAGCCCGGGACCCCTAACCCCTGTGTATTAAAGATTTGTAATAAACCCTTGGCGGAAGCCCTTAACTTACCTTAGCCTCCGAGTGAGTCGTCGGGAACTTCTCAACAACTAGAATACAAAGTATGCCAATCCATGATAACGACAGTAACATTGTACATGAGTGTCGTGGTTGAGAACCTCCCTCTCCTCAAGTCCAAGCAGCGCTCCCCCCACCCCACACCCCCTCCTCCCTCTCCCCCTTGCCCCCCCCCCCCTTTCTTACCCATATAACCTCTTACCACGGCATCTCTCTCTCACACTTCAGCAAAAAACACATTTCCTTGCTGTGGTTTTCCCACCTGATGATTATTGCTTGTGTTGCAATCGAAACGTGATTTATTTTATTTTATACCTACGTGACTTTACCGAAAGAACCAAAGAGTATTCTATTCTATATTAATCGATATATATTCTAGCTTATTGTATCCTGCATTGCTATGTGTAATCTCCTGAACAAGTTTTATAAATATACATTATTAAAAATAAATATATATAATTTAGAAATAACACGCAAAAGAATTGCAAAGCACAGCGTTCCAGACTGTTCCGGCTGAAATGAAGCACTGGCGATCTCTGAAGGTGTTTTCACCTTGATAATAGCTACACGTAAACGGAGTTTAACACGGGCGTGTCATCTGAAGGTGTGTAAAGTTCGCTCATGTTTTTAAGCGCAAAAAAATGACATCGTACTTTTGTCCGTTTCTGCAGGCCGCAGGAACGCTCTGAACTTTAAAAAAATGATAGCGCGTAACAAAAAGCACGAGTGGCATATTTTACATTCTGGCAAAAAGATTTCCACAACAATGCATCGCCTTGAATAATCTGCAGGCCTCGATTTGACATTCTCACGTGTCATTGTTTTGGCAACACCTTGAAACAAAATTGCATAATAACACTGCTTAACAATTTGACTTATTCTATTAAACACACCGTGCTGTTATCAAAGTGTCCAAATGTGTGAAAACAAACGTGTTTGTGTGTGAACACATACAAACGTGCCACCTAAACGTAGACTAAACCAACGGATGATCATCGAGCACATATAAACGCAACGAGCAATGTCAGGCACACGTGGAGCCCTTTGTCAATCCACTGCTGGATGAGTGCAAGTCTGTACCATAACCTCGTTTAAAGGGTGGTGAGGGGGGGAGTGCAATAACCCATGGGGGGCAGGGGTGGGGGGCACGATGCAGTCAACATGAAGGAAACTTTAAACAAACGTTGCAACACTGACCAGAATGAGTCACGATACGATCTGCTTGTGTCTATCCTGCATTCTAGTTGTTCTTGCACAGTCGGCTACGTACGGTGCGAAAAAAATTCAACTTACATAACCTTCTGCTCAGTCCCCCCCCCCCCTCCCACTGTGTATATGACGAACGCATGTCGACTATAAGAACGATTAAAATAGATCATTGGGGGCAAAAGAGAGAGGGGAAAACTTCCCAGCAGAACAAGGGCACCCATAGGGGGAGGGACAAGCGAGGAACAGAACTCATTCATCTGGGACAGCAATACGTGGCGTGGCCACAACATCGCATTTCCCCATTCCACTTGATGGTCATCGTGATATTGGTTCTCCATAACCTTTTATTTGTACCCGCATTTTAAATGTATAGTTTTATTATCTTTGCTGCATTTCCACTATGAATAAAGAGTTCACTTACAACTACATTTCAGTCAACATGAGCCTGCCTTCAGTCTTTATGAACGCTGCAACCAGAAATGCTTATAACGCCACGTTCTGTCAGTTATGAAGCCCTTTTTTCATCTGCGCACACCTTGTGCCGCACAGGGACAGCTGCCAACTAGGGGGTTTCCTGGGCTAAACTGCAGCGGGGCATTGGAATATTTGAGATGAGATGTAAGGTATTGGAGTTGCTACAAAGAGGCCGACACAGCTCAGCGACGAGGATCACTGTCGCGGCATTTTTTTGGAGCCAGCTCGGAGGTGCCACGTCTGCGCTGAGCCGCCTCGTGGGGTCCTGCCCACGTCTGGCTGTGAGAAATCAGCCAGGTGTTGTCCCGGTTATGACGAGCTGAGGTGTGTGTGTGCCTGTAACCGGCTGCGCAATGCTGTGTGGAAGCTACCTGGTCTGTCGCTCAGCACGAAGCGTCGGGTCTTCTCGGCCAGATGTCCTCCTTTCTCTATGCTTGTAAAACGTGAACCCTTCTAATGGAATATCTGCGCCGGTTAGAAACATTTAGGCTAGCATGCCTACGGTTCATCCTGGGTTTAACCAGGTTGGATTGTGTGAGGAGCTCACAAATCCTTGAAAGATCTGGACACATTCCCATCAGTGAGCTCCTCCGGCAGGCAAGGCTGCGTTTGCTGGGTGATGTAGCCTGCATGTACCAATTTGCTTCTGTTTGGCCGCATAGAGGGGGCTAAATGGGCACGACGTCGGCTGGAGAAGAGATGGACTGATGCGGTACAGGAGGATGTGGAAATGAATGGACCTTCTGACGACTGGTACCAGCAGTGTCAGGATCGGCCTCTGTGGAGGAGGCTCGTGAAGGACGCTACTGGGCAGGCAATTGGAGGCAGACGCTCACAACAACGAGCAGAGAACCGGGTGGCTAAAATGCAGCAAGTTGGCACAGTAGGGGGTACAGCTGGTGCATTTACCAGTCATCTCAGTCAGCCTAACCATGGTACCTGGGTCTGTCCCGAGGCCTCCTGTCAGCGAGCCGTCGACACTTCATGTGGCCTCAAAGTGCACCTGGCCTGGCACAGGCGCCGGAGGTGACATCACCGTCACTTAGTGGCGAATGGCGTGGGTATTGGTATTGGCAGTGGTGAGTGGTAGTGTAGCGCTTAGGGCACTGCCCTGCGAACTGGCCACCCGAGTTCGAATTCCGCTCACGGCCAACACCGGTGAGGATTATCTGAATCAGTCATGGGCCTCCCCTAGGTCGACTCATCCTCAAATGAGTACCTGGTGCAGTGTATAAATATAGCCACTAGGGAGACAAAGGCGGCCAAGCGTGGTGCTGGCCAGCCACCCCCTTGTATGCCATGCCGGCCTTCATAGGTCGTCGCTAACTGCTTGCCCCAACAGTCTATAAAGGTGATACGGGGCATCTTTGTCTTGTGTACCCATGCCCCTGTCTGCTTTATGGCCGGGGTGTCACCGATAAGCCATCGCTGCCGTTGCCGTTTCAGTAACCGTCGATCGTGGGGAGGAAGGTGTCACCCGTGAGTCCTAAAGGGGTTAATCCGGTGGCTTAAACCACCTTCCTGCTATGTCGTGGTCCCGTGCCCTCCCTACTGCAGCCCCCCACAACACAACCAAGGTCACAAAGGCCACACAATCCTCTATACTCCGCTTGTTCACTCAAAACAGCCTAATCAAGTATCAAGACTCTTGTTCAGGAGGAGGGTCCTGCCAAGATTTAGCAGGAGATGTTGAAATTGTGCGATCCCAATTGAGTAATCTGGAGGTAATCGTGCACACACGCATTGGGAAGTGGTATCGTGTGATTGTGGTTTCTTTGTTTGGCTTTCTTCGAGTAAATGCGGCATTAGGGTTGGGCAGGTGAGGGTTGATGCATCCAAAGTAAAAAAAAGTTTTTAATTCGCCGTGCTTTGTCAATGCAGCCACATAAAAGCCTATCCACACCGTGTAGGTCACAGTGTCAGTCACGTGCAATATGAACCCGTAATATTTTGACACAGCATGCGTGTCCTAAGATGTTTTGAAAGGTTGAAGGCTTTGTTTTAATGGTGCTGACATTAGCCGCCTCGAATGTTCGTGCACTGGCGGAATGGGTGACTGCACAACACCCCTCAAGTCATCAAAACCCCACACGCCCAGGCCAGCACTCATCAGCAACCCCGAATGTAACCTGTGGATCTATTTCACGAGATATCTCCTTACAGCCAGCACTCAGCCCTCCGATTAGCACGGTTGGCTACGTGCGGTGCGAAAGAAGTTCAACATACAGCCACAGATGTTGCAAGAGCGGGTCGGGTGACAGACATCCTCCACGCAAAACCGTGCAGTGTTTTTTGACATCTATAGCAACATCAGCAACTGAAATAATACTTTAAAAGTTTTATTTAACATAGGAAGGGGTGGGGGTGGGTGAGAGGGAGGGAAGCGGAAATTGGCGATCGTGTCGTGGGAAAAAGCGACATCTGTCTCAGTTTGACTTTAATGAAGTCTGTGTAAGTTTAACATTTCGCGACACTTGAAATCTGTAACGATACCAACCCCATCCCCCCCCCCCGAACAATATCACCCGGATTGTCCCTGATCCTATCAGTTCTCAGAAGCCAAGCGGAGATTGAGCCTGCACAGAACTGCTTAGATGGTTACCAGCTGGGGTTGTTGTGCAGCTGTGAGCGTGCATGGTGTGTGAGCAGTGGGCAATGGAGCAACATCCATTGCCTTGTATATATGTTGAACTTCGTTGAACTATAATTTGTGGCCAGGTCGCTTCTAAAAAACATAAGCTAATAGCTGAGTGCTTTTTACCTGGAAAGATTTTAAAAAATGTTTAGTTTTATTTGAAAATGTGTTTTAAGTGATTTGTTTACCTTTCTTATACTTTGCGCTTCTATTATGTTTTGTATTGTTTGTTGTAACGTCATGACCTGCCCCTACTGGACATCCGTGGAAAAGAGCTTGAAAGCTCATCGGATTCCTCCAGTATAAATCAAGATTTTTATTCTGAAGTTAAATGACACGGAATACGTCCGTGGGAATGGTGCTATGCTAAGTGCGGCGAGATACACGAATACGACTTCAAAGCGATGTAACATTCATGAGATGATGTCTGATTGAACAGTCACTCTGAGATCAAGGAGCCTGAAGGCAGCACAATGTGTACAATGGAAACCTGGTGTCAATCCAAGTGTGAACATCTCCAGCTGCTGCCTGCATTCACCCTTCAACTGCCAACAGTACAACTGTCGTCGCACGCGGTCTATTGATTTTATCAGGTGGAGCAGTGGGGTAGTGGTTACCGCACTGCATTTTATTCCGGCCACGTCTAACATCATCAGTGGTTAATTATATCTCAACCAGCCCTGCCCACCCCCCTCTCATTACCGCCTGCACTGACCAGCGCAGTGAAGTATAGTCAAACAGTACTTTGACACGGACTTGGGGAGGCCTCCATCCAGCAATGGATTGACAAGGGGTAGCAGCACACATTGCCCGCTGATTTGACCAGGTCCCCCTTGTGAAACGTGCGTTGTCTCAATGGGTTGCAACCTTTTACTCTGACAGATTGATCGATGGAGAACAAATCAACATATAAATATGGATTGCCCCAGGGTCCTTCTTGAGGTGTTTGGCCAGCTTAATATCGTATTTTTATCTCACTTTATATCCTGGGTATATTTCAATTGTGCTATCGGTGTCATACCTTGAGACGGTAGACATTTAAATTCGGGAATTGTCTGCGACAGAATCACGGCCGAAGGAGCAACGTGGCATGGAGACGGCGTGATAAGATCAGTTTATGCGGAAGATTGAGATGGATTGTGACATTGCATTGGTGAATGGGATGACGTCCACATATCATACCCGATGATAACGATCATTATGACGGTACCGGTAATGGTGGTGGTTGTGATAATGATGATAATGATGGTGGTCGTGGTGATGATTGTAATGGTTGTGGTGGCGGTAGTGGTGGTTATAATGACAGTGTACTGATAATGATAATTTAATCTATAGCACAAAGCACTCACCAAACGCGACGAGGAGGTAATTGCCTTCACTCTCCAGCGCTTCGGAGAAGTTGTCTTGCGAGAGGATGAGGACGCCCTCCACCTCGGGGACGTGGGCCTTCACGTTCGCTCCGGCCGCCAGCAGCAGCAGGAGCAGCGACGCGAGTGACGAGGTGGTCATCTCTCAATCTCTCTCTCTCTGCAAGGGAAGGCTGGTGCCGCGAGTCTCGTGGTCGATCGATCCTCACGGTGCCTCCTGGTGCCGCAGGTGAAGGGTGACGTGAGCTAAGCGCGCGGAATAAATACTCATGGCCGGGCCGTTGTTTGCTCACCTTGGAGCTTCGTGGTGAGACGCCACTGGCTGAGAGGGGCAATTCACGAAACCTGGGTATGGTGACACGTGTCAGCAGCAGCAGTAGCCCAGTGTTTGTTTTAATATGTTCTCGAATTGTTTAGTGACAAGGGCCTGGGAACTGGGGCGGCATGGGCTTTCCGTGGAGGTGTGTGAGTGTGCGCATCAAAATGGATTTTGGCATAAAACTAATTTATTTTATTTACACAGAAAAAGCCTCGAGGCTCGAGACTTTTTGTCCAATTTCCCATTATTTTTTTGCCTTTTCTCTCCAATTCAAATATTTATATCGATATGGTGTCATCAGATGAAGAAAATTGCATTGCGCATTTTGCAGCTTTTTTTAAACGTGCATTTAGAGTATTTGGCTGCTATAAATGTCCACAAGATAAGCCACTTGTTTGAGCTGTCATTTGTGGCCAGGCCACTTCTGCAAAAGAACTATGTAGCTCAGTGGGATTTACCTGTTGAAATAAAAAATGGTTTATAGTAAAATTTTATAGCAAGCGGTACACCATCCTGTGTCAGTTAACATCCCAAGAATGATGTCACAGAACTACTTCTGAGGTCCCTTCAATTGGCATCTTTATCCATACTAGAGGCAGTTAAGGTCATACAAAGGTCTGAGAACTGGAATCTAGCCAAGTCAAGTGTAAAAAATAATTTAAATTATGGGGTTTTTGTTCAGTGCTGTCATTGATGGCCAGGCTATAATCATCAACTTACCACACTTGAGAACCCCGGATAATCACGGGTGGCTGAAGCCCGGGTTTTAATTCAGGATCTCAGTGGTGCCCGATCAATGTTGGGCCAACGTTGGTCCAACGGTTCCAACCACATTGCCAACATTGGCTGGATGTTGGCATGTTTACTGGGCTGCCCGATGTTGGATGAGAGCGGCTCATTGTGTTTATTGTGGATATAGATCTGCGGTGTCATCTTCAGGGGTTTCCCCTGACACCGTTTCACGTTCCCCGAACTCAATTATAACGCAATATGGTAGTGTCACAAAATCACAATTTACTGCCCTCGGTCGATCCACCGTTGGATGAAGGCCTCCACACGCCGCGTCGGTCGTGTGCTGTTGTTGGCCAGACTTCTCCACGCCAGTCAGTGCAGGTTGGTGAAGTCATCACTAGCCACTGACTTTATGATGGCCAGGAGTGGAACTCAGACTACCGGGTTTATAGAGCAGTGCGCTAACCACTCTGCCACTCTTCCTACCCACCCTCCACTCCCCTCACCTAATTCTGACATAATTGGTGACAACGTTAATTTGTTATCAATATCTTTAAATAACTAGTCAATTTTCCAGGTAAACAACAGAATATTGAGAAATTATGTTTTTTGTTTACTATCAGGTAAAGCATTTTATAATGTTTGAAAATATTTTCAATACTATTAACGTGATTTTAAAAACTTACTGGTGTATTGACAGTACAAATGGGAGCTGCCTCTTGCATTAAGCATTGCGGGGGAGCGGTGGTACAGTGGTTAGCGTTCTGCGCGACGAACCTGGCGACCGGAGATCGATTCCCAGCCACGGGCATCATCTGTGGCAAGGAGCGACATTCGAACCGTTCGTGGCCCCCTCCCCCTGCACGCACCCGCCACTGTGACGAAGTTATGGAGTATGGTCAAACAAACACGGAGACCACTTCATCCAGCAGTGGTTTCACAAAGGGCTGTGCAATGTTCTTTAACTTAATTGTATATTGACAACTTGGTAACCTTCTTGGTTCTTTCGGTAAAGTCACGTAGAATGGAAATAAAATAATAAAAATGAAACGTAATAAAATAAAATTCTCACGACGTTTCGGCCACAACACAAGTAGCCTTCATCAGTTGAAGGAACAGAACTGTCGGGACGACAGCGCTTCAATGAACGCTGCTAAGATTCGCAGCATCGTTTAAGCTAGGTGGGAGGAGCAGAGCGCCTTGACAAAGGAGTTTACATATCAACAGGAGAATATAGCATTGAAATAGCTGTGTTAAAGTGTTGGATTAGCAGGGTGTTAAAGTCAGAAATTAGCATGTAACTGGGAGATTAGCATGATGTTAATTAAAGGGCTTAGCATATACATGCTAATCCCTCACATTACCATCATGATTAGCATTAACATCATGATTAGCATGTACATGCTAATCCCTCACATGAACATCATGCTAATCTCCCAGTTACATGCTAATTTCTGACTTTAACACCCTGCTAATCCAACACTTTAACACACCTATTTCAATGCTAAATTCTTCTGTTGATATGTAAACTCCTTTGTCAAGGCGCTCTGCTCCTCCAACCTAACTTAAAAGACGCTGCGAAGCTTGGCAGCGTTCAATGAAGCGCTGTCGTCCCAACAGTTCTGTTCCTTCACCTGAGGAAGGATACTTGTGTTGTGGCCGAAACGTCGTGAGAATTTTATTTTATTATGTTTTATTTTTATTATTTTATTTCCATTCTACGTGACTTTACCGAAAGAACCAAGAAGATGAATCCGTGCAGTCACAAAAGCTTTAAATCGTGCCTTGCCATGGTGAAGTGCCGTGACAATGCACCTACAGTGCTGGCATTGTTCTGAAGCCTTAGTCTGAGGCTGTTATTTGAGTTAAATCCATTTCCCCCAAAACTAACAGCTCGGTGGCCCTGCCTGAAGGCGTATTTGTGGCACAGGAATGTGGAAGATGAACGTTTAAACACAACGTCTAAAGTTCTCCCAGTCAAGGAAGTTTTTGTCTTCTTTTTTCCACACTTTATTTTTACCTTTCTGTTTACTTTGTTTGATGTAAGGGGAGCTTGTCTTGGAGACACGTGTGTGTCGGTGTGTGTGTGTCGGTAGGTGTGTGCAGTAAAAAAAAACAAAAATACCCAGCTTCAGTCCGAGATAGAGCGCTTGGTGGAAAGACTAGAAGTTTCAACAATGAATTTCTGAACTGTATATTGCCAAATGGGCAGAATGTTTCTCGACGGTGGCTACTGTACTCACCCTCGACAGGTTGTCTGTAACTGTTTTGCATGCAAACAGTTCTCCAGCAAGCTCGGTGGCTTTAGTGAGGGGTTTAGTGACTGTAAGCACTCTGAAAGAATAGGGGAACACGAAAAGACAGATCATGCATGCTTGCCTTGCACCAGCGGACAAAGGGCAGTACTATAGATGCAGATATCATGCAGCAACTTGATGGGGAACGTAAATACTGGAGGGACATTTTGACAAGAGTTGTAGCAGTGATCAAGTTATTGGGTGAAAGAGGACTTGAGTTTAGGGTAGATGATGAACGGTTTGGGTCAACCCATAACGGTAAGTTCCTTGGCATCCTAGAATTGCTATCACAATTTGACCCATTCTTAGCTGAACATATTAAAAAGTTTGGCGGAAAATAAGAGGCACAGTGTCCTATTTGTCATCGACAATATGTGAAGATCTTGATTTGAAGCTTTCGTGACTGCAGAAATCCATACTCTTTGGTTCTTTTGGTAAAGTCAAGCAATCGTCATCAGGTGGGACAACCACCCGATGACCATTGCTTGTGTTGCGATCGAAACGTCGTGATCTATTATTTTTCTACCTACGTGACTTTACCGAAAGAACCAAAGAGTAATTTGCGAAGAACTCATTGAGCTAATGGGTCAGAAAACTCGCCAAACAATAGCAGATGGGATTCGGGATGCCAACTATTTTTCAATAATTGTTGACCACCCCAGGCCTGTCACATTTGGACCATTTGACGTTCATATTCGGGTTGGTTAACAGCAGCGGGAATGTGGTGGAGCGATTCCTGGGCTTTGAGACAATTGAGAGCCACACTGGTAAAACTTTAGCAGACTGTGTGACTTTGATGGTGGAGGGCCTTGGGTTGGACCTCTCAAACTGTAGAGGTCAGTCATATGACAATGCAAGCAACATGTCAGGAAAATACAATGGACTACAGGCCCTCCTGAAACAAAAAAAAACCCTCTGATAGAGTATGTGCCTTGCGCAGCGCATTCACTTAACTTAGTTGGTGTTAACACCTTAGACGGCAGTAGCCCAGAGGCTGACGAGTTTTTTTTGTAACATGTTGCAGTCACTCTACACATTTTGCTCTTCATCCACACACAGATGGGGGAACGTTTTTCAGAAGACAGATGCCAGACTGAAATTAAAATCGCTGTCCAGTCCTCGGTGGAGTGCTCGGGCAGAGTCAACCAAGGCACTGTGGAGAAATTACACCCACATTAGAGGCCTTCGGTGGTATGTGCAATGATGATGAGAAAAGAGATACTCGAATTGAGGCCGCTGGACTATGTGCTAAATTGGACACCTTAGAGATGGTGTTCATGGCACATTTCTGGGACGTCATACTTGACAGGTTCCACGCTACAAGCATGCACCTACAGAAAAGTGACATTGACATCTCTGTAGCAGCACAGCTTTTGTCTTCGTTTGAGCATTTTGTGGCGGGACAGCAAGACCAGTTTGAGGCTTTTGAAAGGGCAGCCTTAAATGTGACAGGTGTCTCTCAGTCATATAAGCACGATCTTCAGCGAAAGAGGAAACGCAAAAGCTCAGAACCAGGTGGGAGAAGTTCAAAATAGAAACATTTCATGTAGTCATTTATAAGCTAGTGGCATGCCTTGAACATCGCTCGGACGCTTACAAGCGTTTGACCAGTCTCTTTGGAGTTCTGTTCATGTCAGATCAGGTGTCTAACAGTGATGTTATAGGGGAAAAGGTAGATGCACTCTCCGCTGCATATCCATCAGACCTGGACATGAACTTTGTCAACGAACTTAATCCAATTCAAGTCGTTTATGTCTGACTCTGAGGGTGAGAAGTGCCCAACTAAATTGCTTG